TTCGATTTGTTGATATATACTATGTCAGAGGCTAAAATTTCAGTAAAATGACTATAACTCTGGACAGAAGGCCTATCCGCTCTTATCATTTTGGAGTTTATCATACCTCACTGGGGTCTACATAACACACATAGTTCTGGCTTAAAAGCGATTGAACACTTGGTGACCTTCCCTCGTAAGTCATACTTTCATCCTTAACTCATACACTTTGTCCAGGACAAGAATAACCTGGATAACTAGGATGTTGCATATGATTTCAAAAATCGTTGGTTGAAAGAAGTATAAACGGTATATACTCTTGCTTAATTGACTTGCTGATAAGAGACACATTAACATTCATCGTTTTGCTTTTTCTCCCTCATTGTCTATTTATTAGTAAACATTTTACTATCCTTTCATATTGTACAATCTTTCGACTCAAATTTACTTTTTTGAGGAAACATTTCTTTTAAAAAGCTTTGAAATTCCCAATGAATTATGTCCTGATACGTATAATTTGTAGTTGTACGATCGTTAATACTCAAAAATTTCGGCATTCGTGATCGTGAACGGAGCCGGTCAAAAAATTGTGTTACTCTCGAATAGTTATTCGTCAGTACGTGATTACAAAAATCTTGTCTGTTTGGGGGACATCCACTTTTCATTCGTCGTTGTTCTACACAAGCATTTGACTGTTCAATTAAAAATCGTGAAACGAAATAGGTTGGATGAACGTCATTCATGTCGCGAAATCGATGAGATGATTGCTCACGTTGAATATCAGCAAATTTAGATACCCAAACATCTTCAGCAATCGATTTTCGAATAGGATGTGGAGCATGCGGAAGAAAACGCCGATCACTCTCGTTAACAAATGCATCTATTTCAGAAAGAAGACCATCCAGTAAAGCATTTGTATTTAGCATTGCTTTCTTATGAATATTTAATGTAATATTAGTGTTCGATGTTAAACGATCGTCACCATAAATCACCGGACATCTTCCATCCGTAAAAAAATCTTCAATGAAAACTGGACTCCCAAGTATATAATCATCGTTAAAATAGAGATAAAATTCCTTTAAATGTGGTATTTTGTGAAGATTGGCTTCGATAGCATGAGAATTAAATGTTGGAAGGTATCTATTGTCGATTATTTCTCGTGTTGAGATCACACGAAGTTGGGATTGTGACATTGAAACATTGAGCCAATTTGGTATCTGATCAGTTACAACATAAATATGTCCCTGAAATGAAGGCATAAATTTTTCAAGACTTCGTAATGAAAAACAAAGTTCATTATTGTCTTTCGATAGACTTGATGAAACACTGTGGTCTTCTTGAAGACGATCACTGCCCAGAAGTGGTCGATCAATGGAAAACCAATAGTATTTCTGCCGAATATACTCTTCATTACTGCCATTGACATATGTATATACAATATCAAAAAGAAAATCATCATATCGCAACAGTGATGCCGACGAACCATAACCTGGTTTCAATAGCCAAGTTATAGTATTTTGAAGAATTACAATAATGGAAAGGCCAATGATGAGCCAAACTTTGACACTATTACCAAATAACTAGGAATATAGAAAAAAAGTGATAATTGATTCTAATTTCATTAGAATATCCTACAAAAAAAAGATCTATTCTAACGTTGACGAAATTTTATAGGGTAGAACTTTCAGGTAAAGATGGATTATGAAATTGTTCGTTAAGTAAAAGTAAAAGCAAAAGGAATTGTTTTTTTTTGTATTCACCAAAAGAAAAGTTAATCTCTAGTACAGTATATTTTCATTTTTAACTAATATTGATTCCGAATGCAATTAATCTAGTTTAGTATGTCCCACAGAGTGAAACTTTTCATTATATTTTTAAGTTATACGATAAAATATTTCATAAAATAGAATCTGCACGCCAAGGAAACGTTTTTCAATAGGAAATGAATTGAAAATTTGATGTTAGAAAAATTACTTAAGTAAATTAATTGATAAAAATAAAAGATGAATTAGCCAGTATTCAGCGAAACATTTGACTTACCATTGTTTCTTTACCTAAAATAATGTTTTACATCATTGTGATGGAAGCGTTTTCGTATATTTTTTTCATATGCTATTCCTTTGAATGGCACCAACCTGTGCCTATACTATTAATAAAAAAGGGATCCCACTACTCAAGGCCAGAGAAACAAAAAAAATTACTGTTGTCTCTTCAATAGATCATAAAGGAAACAAAAAAATGCTTCGATTTACTTTGAGTAGTTTTCAAGGCTTTTTTATGCGTTTATTAAATGTGAGAGTTCAAATTGGCATCCGAGTAAAAATTCCGGTGGCCTGAAAGGAAGTTATAAGTGTATCATCTAGCATCGTTTAATTCATTTAGTGAAAATTATGAATTTACATTAGAATATCAGAGTTCTGGTCTGGTTTTGTTACTAGTTGCTGTTCGAAATGAATAACGAGAAATTTCGTTCAGCGAAAAACTAGGAAACTACAATTAACATTCTATCCTGGTCGTTTAAATAAAATAAAAACGATGCTTACTTTGTTTCAACTTGCTAAACTGTGAAAGAATTTAATTCAAACAGTTTTTCATATTTTATTGTATCATTTTGCTTTTTTGCAATGATTTCTAACCGACAGCAGCAACTGAATCAATCCCAGGCCCAGAAGATTCAATCCGGCCAGTGGATCCGGTCGTTTTCGGAATCGGATCCTATGGATTCCGTTGCTTTTCAGTCGGCTCCGTTGAATTCCGACGATTTCCTAACTAACGGATTCCGGTTCGATTTCCGCCGGAAAAATTCCGTTAAGTTCCGCAAAATTTCGACTCGGAATTCGTCGGAAATCGACGCAACCGATGGGAACTGATCGGAAATGGTCCGACGAAATCTGGGCCGGAATTCGTTAGTTAGGAAATTGTCGGGATTCAACGGAACCGATCGGTTCCGACCGATTCCGACGTACCGTGATTCTCCTGGGATGTTACATTAATGGATTTTATTCGGTTGAATCTATAATAGTGTTTTGCTTAATTGCATCATAGCCTCTTTGGGAATAGAAAAAGGTAGCATGAACTATCTGAAAATGTTTTCTTGCTTTATAGTCTTTTAATAATAGGTTGATTCAATCAATTAGCTATTAGTTTCAAGGACGCTTCGACGTTTATGGTAGAATATTTTTTCTAAGCAGGAGTGGTCAACTAATCACATTAGAGAAACAGTTCAAATCTTTAAGAACATGATGCTTCTGTTTTATGAATTCAACTTTTCTTTTCGATCTTCTGATATATATGTGGCAGGCGAGTTTGGAATAGTTTTTGTCATAATTTTTTTTAGTAGAATTTTGTTGAGATCTGACTTTAGAAATTTTTATATTGATAATTATTCCTTGCATCTTTTTACAATGAGTTTTTCTATAATTCACTCTCTGTATATTTTTTAAACTATCTTGAGGGTGTGGGTGTGCACTCTAAATAAAAATGTGTCGGATGTGTCGTAAACTACGAGGTGCTCGTTGCGACACATTCTGTCCTGCAAGACGACGACGCATTTTTCACAACACGTCCGACATATTTTCTACTGGTCGTTTTCGAAACGCATATTTCAATATTTTTTGAATTTAATTTAATATATTTCCTTATTTTTTGAAAATTTAATCTCATCAGATCCTCAGATCTGGCATTGGTCCTATTCCCATCAGGCCATCCAGTGTAGTCCTTCCTAGATCATGAATCTGGATGGCATTTCCTTGATTGAAAAGCAATCAAGAATTAATTTAAAAGAAAATTTTATTTTGAAAACTTATCTTTCATGCGTTCAGCGATGCTGTTTATATGTCGCTGTATGTTCATGACAAAACGGTGAACGACTAGTCGACAGACAGAACGCGAAAAATATACGACGCATTTTTTTTAAATTATAAGTGTGACACAAAAATTCGCACCACATTTTTCTAATAGAGAGCACAACGCAAAAATCCGCACCACATTTTTCTAACAGAGAGCACAACACAAATTCGCGACACATTTTTCTAATAGAGAGCACAACACAAAAATCCGCGGCACATAAAGTCGATGCATTTTTATTTAGTGTGTGGGTGAAGAAATATCAATACCCACACCCACACCCACACCCACACCCACACCCTCAAGAAATTAAACCTTTTTTTTTTATTTGTCGCCAAATATTTTGACCAAAATGAAATTGGCACCCCTTTATTTTTGCCGTTGGAAAGTTTTTCGAAAAAGCCTGATGTGCTGCCATTTCAAAGTCAATGAGAATTGACTTTGGAGTAAGTGAAATACCATTAATTTGAGCATAAACAATTAATTCATTCAAAAAAGTATCATACGTATTGGTATTCTTGTTGGGTAATGCAGCATATATCACTGGCTTCATGCTGAAGTTATCCCATACATGAATACTGTAGCTTTGGTAGAATAGTTTAGGTGCAGTTCGGAATGTACCGTCTGCATTCCAATGTGCATTATCACCGAGAAGTTTAATACCAATAGATGAAGCAAAACCAACTACAGATACAAGTTGATTATTGCAAAGTAGAAAATTTTGGTCCAACAAAGTGCGAGTAAGTCGATAAGGTATATCAATCGATGATAATGCTTTAGGAACCGGTGGTTGTTTGGATGACCGATATTCATATAAAGACGATTTCACGCGATCGAATACCGGAATTGAAGCAGCAGTACCATTTTCACGTCTAAATTTTTTAACTTGTTGATCATATAATAAGCTAACTGCTGCTGTGGGCTCTTCTTCAATTCGACGTTTGATGGATTTAATACATTCATATATATCTAAAGACATTTTTGGTTGATGTTCAAATTCATGACTTCCATCTGGCTTAATAGAAGAAGTTTTTACAATTGAACCATTGCATATGTTGATTGCAGCATTGCACAATTTATGTGTACATATCCACACTTGAGTACCATTCTTATTTATTCGTTTCATTCCAAAATGATAATTTTTAAAAACTATACCATCTTTATTAGATTGTGTGGAAATTAGAGAAAAGCTATCATCTTTCACGATGGACATTTTTATTTGATTCGTGTAGATTTAACTTCGTCACTTTAAATGTTTTTCTTTCACAATACATGCTTATAAAATGACCTGGATGACATGTGACGAACAACACTAGACTAGCTCGAAACAGTTGATATTATTCAATTCAGCTATTTGCGTGAATCATCTTAAAATATCAATTTTCGTTTGATTCCATAATGCGGACATTTTTTCTCTCCTCCCCCCCGATTCTGCTTTGCGGACATTTTCCACTCTGCGGCTATTTTTGTCTCTCCTCCCCTGTTTCTACTTTGCGGACGTTTTTTTCCAACAATTAAGAAAAAACGTCCGCAATCAAGACGCGGTATATCATTCGGTAAAGTTTTCTTTCGTACTGATAATAAATTTGGTGCAAGTAATTCTTTTTCTATAAAGAAAAACAAAATATTTGATTAATTTTTTGTTTTTTAATTTTACCTTCTTCATCAATTGTTTGTGCTGTTGATGTTGGAGATAATTCATTTATTTCTTTTGATATTACTGTAGTTCATGTTGTTGGTCGTGGTAGTGGTGGTATTTCATTTCATACTGCTGATGGAGATGATAGAGAATTTTCGGTTGATCGTGGATTTGTGATAAGTAAACGATCGATAACTTAAGATTATCGATTAGAATATTGTTTTGAATCAAATGAAACTGGTGGATTAAATTTTCGGTTCTATATTAAAGACAAAAAAAATAAGTCAATGATATTATTTATTGAAAAAAAGCAATATAAGAAGAATGGTTTATCTTAGCTAGTGAAATCTCTAGATATGTGCGGGGACTAGTTTTACCGACCGGGACGACGAAAAACAGATTTGTTCGAACTGAAACTAAAAATTGTAGTTGAATATTCTATGGTTTTTAGCAAAAGATATTATAAATCACATTAATTAAAGCAAAATTCAAAAGTAATGAGAAAGAAAACTGACATTCGTCGACTGAATTAATTTTAAAAAAATCGAATATTTCAGAATGCTTTAGATTTAATACGAATCAATTCTGAAATAATGCTTTCTAGATTGCGACCGGGACTGTAAAAACAAGTTGGTCCCTCACATCTCTGGTCATAACCGGTGCAGGAATACGATATGGATAATGTTAATAGAAGTCTTCATTAAGTACCATTCGTTTTCGCATTCGATATGGTCTTTTAATAAAATCAAAATATTTAGCTAATGGATCAGGTTCATCAAAACCCCATTAACCACGTACACGTAATAGATCATGTTCAATGCAAGCCATTCGTTATATTAATAATTAAATTTGCGTTCAGAATTCTTTAGAAAAACAAAATTGAGATTTTTATACTTGTGGTAATCGACGGTATTCATTATCAACATTTTCTTTAACACTTGAAACATTAACAGACATTAAAGCTAACGCACTCTTGAAATAATCAAAAAAAATAATGATATTTTTTCTTGGGAAGGAAAAAATAAATTAATTTTTACATAAATTATTGGTCAACCTAATTTTATTTGTTCAAGTTTTACTTTTATTCATCCTTGAAGTTGATGAAGACTTGATCGAAAACCACCTATTATACCACCAGTTAATCGTTGAATACGCTAAATAAAATCATAGAAAATATTATGATTCAATAAAAATAAAAATAAATCTCGCAAAATTCTTGTTTATTTTTATTCTTTTTATAATACCCTTTCTAATTTCAATAAAAATCGAACCAACATGCATTATTTGTTGATGAATTTTCTGTTATTCTTATTTCTGCTTCAACAAATCTTCTCCAAACTTTAGTTGCCAATTCAAATAAATACTATCCACTAAAATTTAATAAATATTTTCTTCTATAGATTAATCATCATTTATTTACTTAACATCAACTAATGTTGTTTTAACTCGTGTAACTAATTGTGAAAAACTCATGTTACGTATTTCTTCTAATGCCTATAAAAGATCAAAATTATTTTACAAAAAGGTATTTCTATCGTACTGATTCCTTTTCCATATATAATTCTGACCAAAATACGTTGTGTAGCATTAATGATTAAACTTTTATTTGATTAAATAGGTGATGTTGGACTATCAAAACGATAATACCAAGTTGATTGGGAATTCGAATCATCACTCAATCAATTTTCTCATTCTGTTTTCAGGTTTTGTTTGTTTTGCTTTACATTTGGTGTTGTTGCTTAGTTCCTGTTTCATCAATTATACTTTAACTAGTGCTTCAGTTAAACAAAGTGTTGTTGCTAAATAAAATCTTTCATTCCCAACGATATATTGTTGTTTATCAAATTCTGATTCAAGTCTTTCAAGTTGTTCATGTGCAAATATAGTACAAATATGTTTTAATTTATTTTTATGATTTACTTCATGACGAGAATCTGTTAAATGTTTACTTGATGTTTAATCGATATGGAGAATGATCAAGATTCAGATTCAGATGAAGCTAAACTAAATTTGTTATTTTTTATAAATCATAGAATACCGTTGTTTCTTTTACATGCAAGATCATTATTGTTATTATTAGTTGTTGTCATATCAAGTGTTTGAAGTTGATTTAATAAAGCATAATGTGATATTGGTGGAGTACGAAATGATGTATGATCATCTTCAGTATCTTCATTATAGCTTAGATTAGGTATTTGATTATCTTTTGTTAACGATGTTTTGAGAAGGAACAGTTTTATGAAGACAACAAAAAGGGTTTGAAAGATAAATTCAGCTTGATTAAAAATGTTATTTCTTCATTCTTATTGATGGATCAATCAATAACGACACAAAAAGTATTGAAAATGCAAAAAAACCTTTTCTCGATTAGAAAAAGACTTGTTTTGACTATGAAAAATTTGTCGTTGCTCTTGATTATGATCCTTCGTAATTATACTATAAGAGAAACATATTATAAAGCAGGAAAATATTCATTAATCTTACAGGTCGCGAAGAATTCCAAGATTTGTCGACGTAATTCTCGATCCTGTAATACGTAAAACTCAAGCTTGTGAATTTAAAATAATATTTCATATCTTTACCCTATATATTCCATCAACAACTTGGTTGATATTATTACAATTGACACCACCTGCAGCACCACCAGTTCCAGTTTCTAACGTAACAACTTCATTCACATCCTTCAATGAACAAAAAGGCGAGTAATAATTTGCCCAGAAAAAAGAGGTACTTTACCATATTCGTTATCTTACACATACGAAGTAGCTTTGTAATAATTGTTCGTAATGTATCAACATTTATTACTGTATTGTTTGTGATAACGTTCGCAGCTGCTGTGCGTATTTGCAATTTGATACGTATTTCATCAAATTCATCCTAAAAGAAAAGGATTTAGTTTTTATTGGTTTGCATTTTGTGAAAAAATGGTTACCTCCCAGGTTGATCAAAACAGACTCGTTTACGGTCTGTTTATCGACGGTAAACTATGTCAAAACGGTATATTTACGGCAGGAAATAGGCTGTATTTGCACGTAATACCTGGCGCAGTAATACGGCACCGTAAACGGGACTGAATTTTCATGGTTTACGGCTGTTTGTGCTCCGTACTCTCATGATCATACGGTCCGTATTACTGCGCCAGATATTACGGCAAACTTTCGCCCGTAAAATAGTCGTAAAGTAACTGTCAACGGCCGTATACGGACCGTACTGTTCGGTCTGGGCTCTTCCGTTATCGCCATCCCAATTTTTTTATCCTTACTCAAAGGATAATGATACAGAAATGGGAGCTATAACGGAAGAGGAAGCGGAAAAAATAGCATACCATTTGAACGATGAACCAGTTGAGACCAATGAAAATTCAAGTACGATAAAAATAGATGAACGCAGTTATCAAGTTTACGAATATAACTTCTGCCGTATACGTAGTGGCTAATACTGAAAGGGAAAAAATTGTGCTTCACCTAATATTTATGTGTTATAGAGCGATGAGAGAAAAAGAGAAATGAATAAATCGAAACGACGAGAGAAACGAATAACTGCATTCAAACACAAACAGTGAACGACGTGGCGGAGATTTGTGTCTAGAATTTTCTAGAACGCGTGTGAAGCGTTTATTATCCGTCCATTTCTCTAATCATATAATTTTATTTGTTTTCAGTGAAAAATATAAAAGATCTGGATAGCGATAAAATGTTCGACATCGTTGAATCGAAAAAAATGTCCTATCTATTACGTTCACCTAATTAGCTTTCACTAATTTTGTAATAGAAAGATTTAAAAAAATACAAGAATTTCGTATTTTTTCCAAAAATGGATCAAAACAGATGAAATATTTCTGAGAAAAAAAGGAAATGAAAAACCTGATTTATTTACCCAAATCAAATATAATAAGAGCTGAATCTTAAGCTAACAGATAGATTATTCTTATTCAACGATGAGGGTGAAACATTATTCTCCTTGTGAATTAAATGGCCACTTATGTGAGTTAACCAAAACTGCAAGATCAGATAAAGGACTTTATCCGTCTGAATAAACCAAGACTAAAATTAAAATATATTTTTTTTAATATTTTCACCCTTAATTTATTTATGAAACTGTATCTTTACGGCTATCTCTCTTTCATCTTCCGCATCTACAATTCCTAGCATATTATTGTATAAAAATGCGTATCTTAAAGCATCATTGTCAAAAAGTTTTCAAAAATTACATTCGTACTCGTACTCATACTCATACGTCAAATGTCCGTAAATTGAGTATATTTATTCAACATTCTCAATGAATTTTTTTCTACGAAAAAGCAAATTTTGACCAACTTTACAATTACTTTTTAGTTGAATAATTTCAATAATGTAAAAATCATTGTAAACCCCCTCCCATATCAGAAGCCCGCGTCTCTCCAGCTCAGTTTTCAGTTTTTTATTAATAATTATTACATTGACTTATCGGCATATATCGATGAAATAGGTTTTAAAGAAAATAATTACTTTATGAATTAACCCGAGTTCTAATAATTCTTTTGCTATACTATTTGGTGCTTCATCTAATTCAATTTCTGCTGTCATATCACGTTGTAATCGATCTTGAAATTTTACACTAATAAATAACTAAATATTAAAACAGAAGAAAAAAGGAAAAATAATATTTAAAATTAATTCGAATAGATAATCTTTACCAAACACGAGCCAGTTTCTTTTGTTTTAATTTAACGATGTATATCAATAATTCGTCGATTTTCTTTCTTATCACTATTTGATAATGATGTCGATTTTTAATTATATTTGATGTTAAATCATTAGTAGTAGTTTCAGAAACATTTGTTACCGAAATTGATCGTTCATATAGTGTTGTACTATTCCGTGATTTAATTCCATTATTTACTAATGTTCTTGAATTTGGATCATTTGTATTTATTGGATAAAAAATTAATGAATCTGTTATTGATTGTGTGTTTGCTAAATCATTATCTTAATTTAATATAGTTGATGAAGGTAATGATGGTGTTAGAATTTTATCTGAGATTGGAGATTTTGTTAAGAGATTTAATGTACTACGAGTTGGAAATAATAGACGATAGCCTGTTATTGGATGTAAACCATTTTGAACATTTTCAAGAAGTTTATACAAATCAAAGGGTGAAAAATCTTTATAACTAAAATATAATTCTATTCGAATTCGAAATAAAAAAAAGCTGTTAGCACAATCCCTGTGGGATTAAAATATGAAACACGATGGAACTCCTTTGTTGAAAAGTGTCTACCACGGCCTGTGAGTCTTTGTAGCTTTTATGCCACTGTCTGTAATCATATATGCAGCCTTTCGCTCACAGTCTGTATTTTGATCAATGGAGTCGGTAGAGACCATTACAGACCGTGCCAGAGATTTCAGAGACCATCACAGACAGTTAGAGAAAATCCACAGGCCATCACAGGCTGGGACAGAGAATCCAGAGATCATCACAAACAGTTAGAGAGAATCCACAGGTCATCACAGAACGTGACAGATTTCAGAGACCATCAGAAGTCTTGATCGAGAGTTTAGAGACCATCACAGACTGAAACAGAGAAATTAATTAATCAACTAATCAATTAGCTAATTAATTGCCCAATTAGCTAAACAATTAAACAATTAATTAATTAGTTAATTTCTCCGTCCCTGTCGGGGGGGGGGAGGGGGGCTGGGATGGGTCCATATTTTTACCCTATATACTTCAACACTCCTTTCAGATCGTGTTTCACAAAAAGTTTTTGTTATTAATAGCAACAAGATAACAATAACTTCTCACCTACATTCTCCAGTCTAGAGCTGAGTTTCTTATTTTTAGGTTGCCCCTTGACGTAGGTAATGTTAGCACCGAATTCGCCTATTGCTCTGTGCTGATTCTCTACTTGGTTGTGCTGGATTTAGAATTTCGAGCTCTATCTAACGACAACAGTTTCACATGGCATCGTCGAGCATAAATCGTCGTTTGGCTAAAGTACTAGCAGAGAACCATGTTTTTAGGGAAATATCCTGTTCGGATTCGCCTAGAAACCTGTGCTGAGCCTCTACTTGCTTGTAATAGACGCAGAATTTAGGAATCTATCGAATGATATGAAATTCAGATGGGGTCGTCGAGTAAAAAGTGGGTTTCTGAACAAAATGCAGGTTTTACTCCAACGTATCAGCTTTGAAAAATTCATCTGCATGTCAGCATTCATCTGTGCACCTCTGCGGTTTCTCTATTTGATTGTGCCGGACACGGAATTTTGAGCTCTGTCCAAGGGTATTCGTTTCAGGTGGGGTCGTTCAGCAGAAATCAGCGTTTTAACTAAAATACTAACAGAAGACCATGCTTTTAGAGAAATATCCTGTCCGTATTCGACCAGAGACCTGCGCTGATGCTCTAATTGATTGTGCTGGATGCAGAAATACAAGCTCTATCCAACTTTATCTGTTTGAGGTGGGGCCGTCGAGGGTGTGAATGTGGGTGTTGGTGTGGTCTTTACTTTATTCACCCACACCCACACCCTCTTCAGGTTGTATCGCAATGGTCGAGCGATCGTTTGTATCATGTTGCATTTCTTTACTGATGCACTTCCAATGATCTCCGTCTTCAAGTTGAGTATGTTGTCAATTTCATACTAGAATCTATCGCTAACGTAAGACTTTGTATTCACTTGTTTCTCTGAAGGTGGGTGTGGTTGCGGGAGTCGTCGAAAAGAAGCCTCGCCCTCAACCACACCCACACCCTCGCTAGTTTTTAGTTTTAAATTTTAAATTTTTTATTTAAGGTTTTCTAGATAATTTATACCTAGGAATTGAAGTTTAATGTTGCTGAAAAATGTATATAATTTGAGTATTCAAACTGAAAACAGGACTACACGTGTTTATAGAAATGAAAAAAATACATTGCATAACGTATGCATATTCATGTTTCAACAGTGTTTGTGTTATTATTAAACTTTAACATTTTCATATCCATATTATGTGAAACACATCCCTTTTTAAGAGTCAGAGTAAAATTGAATGGAAACAGCGTAATAGATCAAGTAAAGAATTAAAACTATTATCGGGAAGCGTATTAGTCATCGCTGAATTTAAGTACTCCAAATTCAGTTATATCATATTACACAATTATAAGAACTAATATTCATTTACAATAATATCATTTACATGTGTGCTTTGTTTGAGCAGCACAATCCGTTACATATACAGAGGTACCGGTTACCGATAAGACCGGTTATCGTCACCGTCGCATCACTAGGTGTGATATAGGCAGCCAATATCTAGATTTCATCTCGGGGTCTGGGGGTGGGGGTTTAGATCAAGACCCACACCCGTCCATTCACTACGACAGTGTTTTGCTTGGAAAGAAAAGGATCATTTTTCTAATCACAAGATTATATGTGCACTTGAACCACAAATTCTTATCAAATAGCACAAATATTTTCTGCATATAAGACTTTGACACAGTAAAAACTTGCATGTGAGTATACCTTTACAAGGTAGTTGCGAAAAGTCGCTTGCAAACCTGCAGATAAGACCAGATTGCCGATTTGACTAAAAATAAAAACTCGTCATCGTAACCGATGTTGCTTCGTTAGATTCCGATTTTCAGTACTATTTGGTATGGCAATAAAATGTAGCATATGATTTCCAATTTTTTATCAAAAAATTCATGTTTGCTGCTAGAATGAAATTCACTAGAGAAGAAAAGAAGAAATGTAGTGACTGGATGAGCACAAAGAAAAATTATTTCTCTTACCAGGTATATACAGTATATATACAACAATAACAAGCAGAAAAGAAACACGCCTGCATGATTCACTGAAGGCAAAATTGCTCATGCTTGCATCACCAAATATTGTAAGGCTGCAAGAATGCAAAACACAATGATGAAGCACCAAAAAGCATATCCCGCAACTCGGAATCGAACCGAGGCCATCCGATTCCTGCTAACCATTTACTTTTACAGTCGGAGATCCTACCATTAGACTACAGCGGGATGTTCTTTCCTTCGTTTTATCTTTAAGTTAGATTGGCGTCAAAAAGAAATGGCTTCGGTAAACATTATCTTGGATGTGATTGATGATGTGTGAATTGGTATTTTTTTTTCATTCACAAGTCAATCGTCTTTCTGTATTCTCTATCATCATTGACTATTAGCGTACATTGAAAAAGAAAATGGTGTCACACGAATCCTTTAAGGTTTCGTAGAACTTCACTGCATACTATTATAGATACCACACCAGCCCACGAAACCATTTTAAGGTATAGTAATAAAAGAGGTTCCGTAAAAAAGCTTTTTATTTTTGGTAGGCGAAAGGGTTTCGTAGGAGACCTCTTAGAGGTTTCGTTGCCAAAATGTTTTGTATGATACTTTTTTTCCTGTACATTTATGCTGCCGACAGATGTTGACTCATCAGAAATTGTTCAGCCTTGATTATTTCATCTGGTTATCACATATCATTACGAAAAACTGAATTGTCTGAAAAACAATTTACTTCAATTAATTTATGAAATAAATTTACTATTATTGAAAAGTTGTTGTTGACCACTGATTGGTTCAAATCCATCAATATAAATATGAAGTTCACCGAGAAATTTATTCGGAATAACTGTACGTTCATGTTGTAAATTTAAATCAAGAGTTATTTTATTTGTCGTATTTAATAATTTGAGATTACGAATAAAAAATCTTGAATCAGTTTTATTAATCAATGATTTGTCATAGTGAAAACCAGCTGAATAGATCAAGAAGGTGTGGGTGTGACTGGAAAGAAGAACCGCTCACACCCACACCCATACCCTGAAGATATGTTGCACTATCATGTCATTATGCACATTTGTTCACTAGCACTGACGATAATGTGTTTTCATGTACATGATTCTAGAAAATTGACTACACGGGTGTATATCAACCCTTTCTTTCAGAAGAGTGAATAAACGGTGAGCAAGCACTGTTTGTCTTTCTATCAATTCCATACATTTAAGAAAAGAAACAGAATGTTAAATAGTTGTCACGTTACCAAGGTGTTTTTTCTTCTTCTCGGCTGCTTGCAACAAAAAACTACGAATGATGAATCTTTTTTCTTTTCTTTTACGATCATTTAGATTTTTTCTTTACTGGTTATGTCAGACGCATCGAACTCACAACAACAATTTTCATTAAGTTTTCCCGTTCAAGTTCACCCAGGTTATCCAATATTACCACCAATATTACCAACAAACCATTCAGTAGAACAAGAACATTCATCATCAAATACTAATAATGTTGACGTTGAATGTGAAAAAATATCTATAGATGTAAAAGATTTTTGGATTAAACTTCGTGAACATATCAACAGGGAAAGGTTAAAATCATATGATAAACGTGGAAATCAAAAAACATCGAATAAAGTTGTACGAATTTTTGTCTCATCAACATTCACAGATTTTTTTAATGAACGTGAAGTTCTTATTAAAAAAGTATTTACTGCATTACGTGATGAAATGGGACCATTCGGTATTCAAATAATTGATTGTGATCTTCGATGGGGTGTAAATATGATAGAATAATTTCAAACATCATTTGTAATAATATTTCATATTATAGGTTCCGAAAGATTCAACAACTGAGCAAACAATATTAGCATGCCTTGAAGAACTCGATCGATGTTTAGAAGATAATGGTCAGCCATTTTTTATTGGGCTTATTGGTGATAAGTTAGATAAATCTCATTTGTTTGCTGTTGCTTTTCATTTGATTTAGATATGGTTGGGTGCCAAAATTGAATGATTTACCAAAACATATAATTGAAACATACTGTTGGATTGATGGAGCAGCAATAACATTAATGGAATTTATTCATGGTGCATTTCGTAGAAATAATCCAAATGCATTTTTTCTAATTCGAAAATCGGAAAATCTTTTGAAAAATCTTCCTGAAAAATATAATGACAAATTTCGTGATAAAGATGAATTAAGTCAAAAACAAGTAAAAGAATTAAAAAGTCAATTATCAGAAATTATATCTCCTGAACAAATATTTTCTTACGATTGTTCTTATAATGGCTTAGATTCATCAACTGGACGTGAAAGAGTAAAACACGTGAAGTTTAGATTTAATTTGTATTTTATCTACCTATTTAGGTTAAAATTGATGGTTTACAAGAATTTGCAGAACGAACAAAAAGTTTTTTAAGTGCAGCTGTTCGTAAATGGTATCCAGAAAATTTTAATGAAGATAATTCGATTAATCTTGGTTCGATTTCTATCTAATTGATGTTAAAAGAAATCCGTTGTCATTTCTAGAAGAAAAAGAAATGAATACATTTCTTCTCAATAAAACACAATATTATATTGATCGATCCGATGAATATTCGACTCTCCTTAAATATATAACAGGCGATCATAAGGACTTCATGTTAATCAACGATAAATTAGGAACGGAGCCAGATAAAGCAAATGGTCAACCTTTAATGGTTTTATCAAGTCAATCAGGTGATGGAAAAACAATGTTACTTGCAAAATTTGTCTTAGATATCCAAGTAAGTTCCAAAAAACAATTGGTCGAAATTGTTTTTGAAATTGATATCACTATAGGAAAAAATGAAAGACAAAGCTATTATCTATTATTATTTTGCCGAGGGAGCATATCAACATGGAAGTCATTTCATATTAACTAATTTACAGTTAAAACTCTTAAAACATCTTGGTGAAGAAAAATAGAAAATTAACTTTAATGGAAAAAAAACCGTTCTTTTCACTGTTTAGATGATAATAATATAAAATCTCCAAAAACGAATGAGAGATTTCACTTTGGTGATGATGCATTTCTTGAAGACGCTGTTGCTGCTATATCAATACCAATTATTATTGTTGTCGATGGATTGGAAAAAGTAATTCAAGGTGAATTTAAAATATTTAAAAAAAACAAATCAAAATTCTTGTAGGGTGACTTGCATCATCAGCGAAATTATATGCATGAATTTCCCTTCCTTTGGTTTTCCTCATTACTCAGTAATCATACATATATTATAATTAGTACGGAATTAAATTCAAATTTACATCAAACAATACGTAACCATTCGCATTATGTACTAGAACTTAAATTATTAACAAGTGAACAACGCAGTTCATATATTGATGTGTTTTTTCATAGTTTTAATAAAGTAAGTTCAAAAAGAAAATAGATGGATTATTTAGCACAAGTATTGAAACACAGAATTTTGGATATATCTGTAATGGTTATGCTTTGGTTTTCACTGATATAGATTCTTGAATCAGAACAAAAATCACTACTCGTAGATAACAAAGGTGGTGAGCATCCTATTTATTTATCTTATGTTTGTGAAAATCTTCGACAATTTGGTGATTATTCTCTTGTTACCAAACGTCTCAAAACTTATCCATCAACGCTAGATAATTTACTTAATTTTCTACTGAATGAAGCTTATGAAATTATTGACAATCGGCCACTTAGTGATGCGGTAATTTTCATCGAAACTTTTATTTGACATAAAACTAAAAAAATTCTAGTTCTTCAAATTATTACTTATATCCAATATTGGTTTGATAGAATCAGATATGGTTAATATACTGGAACATTATTTGAATAGAAATACAGATGAAAATAATCGAATCGATGTAAATCAAATGATATGGGCAGTGTTACGAAGACATGTAAAAATATTTCTTGATACAACTTGGATCGCAGGAATTCAATATATTATTTTTCGTGATTCATCCATTGAAAAATTATTACGACAACGTTGCTTGAAAGATGATGCAAACGAAACATATACTCTCCATGCATTTATGGCTGAATTCTATCGTAAATATTCGTCAATGAAAGATATTGCAACATCTCGTGTACTGTATCATTATGAGCAAGGACATATGTACCAAGAACTTGTTACATATTTACGTTCACCAGAAGGACGTATTGTTACTCGACATGATAGAGAAAATTATTTACGTGTAAGCATTTTGTTTTTACTAAAAAAAAAGTTCTTTTAATTTTTGCTTGATTGTTCTAAAGCGTCGTCGTTGTACAAACACACTTGGCTCAGTTGATACTATAGATAATCAACGTGCTTATGCATGCCATGTATGTGCTAAAAATTTAAAATTAGCTCCATTTATGATGCAAAAAAGTCCTTGTATTATTTGTTCGAAACATATTTCTCCATTGACTTCTACTGAAATACCTCTCGAGAAACGTGAAGCACGTCTTTGTCAGAAACATGGTACAAATGATTACTCACAAAATTTTCAATGTTTACTTTGTAAAAGGCTTCAACCAACTTCAAGAGGAGAATTATCAACACCAGGACGAGAGCCTTTACCATTATATATTTGCTGTGAATGTTGGTTGGCAGGTGGAGAAGCAGAATCACGTTGTTCTGGATTTGCTTTGGACTAAATAAAATAAATCTTCTGTTTTTTACAAAACCTTACACGGCGATTCGGTTTTTGATGGTGAGGGTGTAAGTCCACACTCTAAAGCAGCCGAATAGAACTGCTCGCTTGATTATTTAACTGAAATATATTGCAAAATTTCCGTAGATATATTGTCAAAAATTGTTTTTCTACTTTAGTTTAACTAAGAAATAAACGGTAGCATTTCGAAAAACTTTATCTTATGATAAGTAAAGAGAGCTTGGTGAACAGTTTTACAAAAACTAATTTGATAAAAAACATATGTATTATCATCGAATGAAATTGTTCAGAGAAAATTTATTAAAAGACCAACTACCAATAAGTTTTATTGTTAATATATTTAACAAGCGTTTTATCATCAAAAAAAAGAAGTTGAAATCGACTGAAGCTAAACGTTTTCAAATGTTTACTTTTTTTCATTTAATTTTTCTTTCGTTTGAGCTTTTGCTAGAGAAATATTCATGTAAATGTCCACCATTGTTGGTATACAGTCGCTTAAAATCACTGTATTCGGTGGTAGATGAAAGCCAAGGCATTCAATTGCAGATCTGGTAAATGTCTGACAATTTAATATCGACGACCAAAGTGCACCATTGTTTTTTTTGCACATTGGATTATAAATATTTTGGACCAGTTGATTTCGTAAATTTTGAGCGAAATACATAGGAGAAAAAACTCTTGAATACGATTTAAAGGTATTTTTCCAATTTGTTTTATTAAAAGATAATCATCATATAGACGACGTTTGAAAGTTGCTTCCATATAAGTCGTATGATCTGTAGAATCAACGATGAATATATCAAAATGTGTTGCTACGAATTCTTTACTTGTTGACGAGCCTGCCAGTACAAAAGAGAAATATAAAATAATATATATATAGCTCTTTCAACATACCGGTGATATCAACAGCTAAGCTAAAATTAACTGTTTTGCCAAGATCTTTTCCATATTCAGATTTAGGCTTATGCTTTAGAAAATATAACTGATCCTGCTGTATTTAAATCAATAAATCAAGATGGACGAATCATTGAATCTTGATTTAAGTTCAATTTACTAATGTGAATTCCCATAAGCAAAAAAAATAAAGGATACAATTTTAAAATACTTTTATGTCTATAACGAGAAAACACTATTTATCAATGTGTCCTTAATCCAGATTTATTTTCTTATGTAGAGTTTGTAATTGATCTTCAAACAAAACAATGAATAGAAACAAAAGAAAAAATGAACATATTAATTTACAATTATTGATGTGTGGATACCGTAGACAGCATTTAATGGAACCCATTGAAAACCGAAAAATGTTAAGATAGACTACATTTATAGGCAACATAGAAACACTCATATGAGTTCAAACAGACCGAAAAAAAAATAAACCGAATTAAAAGTGAATTAACTAATAAATCGTCTCGAAAAGATGACTTAATTCTTAATGCACCAATCACGTTGCTTAATTCGATATTAATTTTTCTAGTGTGTTCAAGCTCTAAAAAAAAGATGATTTAAGTCGGAAGAGAGCAATCAAGTTGCTTAATTCACTTTAATTGATTGTTTCGGTCTGATTGGGGAATAAAGGAAACGGTGTAAAATGGAATAGAGGTCACAATGAAGTTGTAATGGCAAATCAATGAGACTTTAGAGAGAGTATCACAATGCAACACATATTGAATTTTATTCCTTAAAGTGTTTATCTTTGTTAAGAACAAAAATGATCAAAAATCGAGACTCCCAAAGCTTTTTAAAATAGATTAAAAGATCCAAATTAATAAGAAACTTTTTCGGAAATGAATTGTGATTCTTTTCTTTTTATCAAACCAATCACGTCACAACTTAAAATGAAAAATAATGATTTCGTGTTGTTTCGATCAGAGGTGTCCACAGGGTAGGGCACAGGAAGAATATTTAAAAAAACCTCTGCTTTCTATAGAACAAAGCGATACTTTCGTGCCCTGAAAATTTTCTATATGATTACTTTATTTTCAAAATAACTCATACGATAATACTCCCATAATCTCCTCCGTTGATAAAAGTTAAATATCTGTTATTAGTACAACTTCATCATATAACTGCAACTATTCATTTTGAAATCCATTTTAAAACGAGAAAGACAAACCTTTTGTATTTTAAACATTGAATCAATATAAATTTAGGCATTTTAAAGAGATTATTTAGTTACCAAGTAATTAAATTGTTGATTATATAAGCTGCTTAAAATATTATCATATAATAATAGTTTATGAATCCACTAGTGAAACTAAGCATTTTCTTTCATATGCAGATCGATGACTTTCTCTAGGAATTATCATATCTTCTTCTGTTATTGGTATAGATGATTCTCGATTGATTCAAATAAAGGGTGCAAAACCCGAGTGGATGAATAAACTACTGTTTGTGGATCATTTTACCAGAAATCGCCAGTCCATCCGGCGACCACGCCTAAATTTCGTGAAACTTTCAGGATTTGTAGAGAATTTTTTGCTGATCATTTCGATAAAACATTTTTCCAAAATAAATTCTTTTTTCGCGAAGATATAGTTCAAATACAAAAAAGGCACTTTTCAAAAAAAAATTACATTTTTTTCGAGAAAACGATGAAACTCCCTCTTTCTTCACTCGAATTTTAAAACCAACCACATATTCAGAGTCCTCGTGAAAAACTGCATCTGAAGGGTGTGGGGGTGTGGGTGGTGGATCGGTCCAGAGTTCACCCATCTCCACACTCACAAACATTTCCAATAGTGATTAAATGCACTCAAGAAAAACAATCAACAACATCACAAAAATAACAATCATATACAAACGCCATGATTTTTCAACAACTTTGAGTAAGCAGAAACACAAGCAAATATGAAAAGATAATCAAAAGGCAGACGAACTATGACACTTTTATAGATAAAACTAATCAACAGGAATATTAAACAAAAAAAAATCTACCCGTCAGACTATGAAAAGATATAGTTAGAACTATCCTGGCTATATCTAAACAAAGTGTTCCACGTATCGGCGAAATATGATGTAAAAGAATAGAAACTATTCCTCAAAAATAAAAAACTTCAGAGATATGAAAGAATCACAAAGCATTAGTCGATCATACTTCCTCAAACAGACCAAAGATGAAGTTCGCTATTCAAAATACGTAACATTTGCATACTGCGATTATACTACTACACTAATACTCACAAAGAACTATACAAAAAACCAAAACATTTCCTGGAAACCTTCTTACATCTCAGAAAAATTTGGAGTAATTTTAGAATCATTCGTACAGATGCCTGCCACTTGATAAGATTTCTTAGTAAATTCGAAAAACTATTAGTTTTGTGGTAACTCTTCCCACTCACACACACCCAATATGAAAGTTATGTGCTTTGTTAACATCCTTTTTAATCAATAACCAATTGATAAGTGTTATTCTGAGCACTTATCGAAACCGATCTTGCTAGCTGTTTGATTGGTCCAATTTTACGAATCCTTCTATATAAACACGTGTACACCCTCACTTTTCCGAATTGTTTTCTTATTTTGAACAACCACATTCTGATTTTGTCTGATGTTGAAGTGTAAATTTCTTATTTTGTACCTTCCCTAAATATCTCGTCAACCATGCGATTCATTCGTAACTTAGCGCTGTCAATTTTTGCAATGAACCATGTCAGATGGATCTCTATCAACATTCGAAAATAGCATGAAAATTTATTTTCGATAAATAAAACAAACCAACCTTCAATGATAGCTCGCTGTTGTTCATTAAGTAAATCCATAATTGGTTTGTAATCCTTTTGTTCAATAATACGCCAAAGCATTGGATCTGCTATAGTTTTCATCCATTGTTCTGGATCACTAGCATATAGTGTATTACCGCCAACAGCTTCCAAGGTAGTTGATAATTTTTCATAACTGTGTTCATGTTCTGATGTATATGAAGACCCACTCTTTGCATGAATTTCAATCAGTTTTGAAAAAATAGATTTAAAACGGATCTCGCCACTTTTTCGTATTGTATCTTCATTAGAAGATGAATAAATGGAATGTTCTTCTGTAAGAAATAGATGACCACCAAGTGTAACTTCTTTAGGATAAACATGACCATAAGTTGAAAAGACTTGCTCTAAATCATTGTGAATTCTTGACATCGTTTTTTTATGGTCATCAGAGTCTACTTTTGAAAAATCTTTCGTTTTTTCTTTATATTCTGAATAATTTCTTAAAACGCAGTCAATATCATTGATAAATGATTGATTTAGTTCAAGATATTTTAAATCCAATTTCATAATAACACGTCGAAAATGATACGCACAAGTTGAATATTTTGTTTGTGTTTCTTTGTTTGTTGAATAATCTTTCGAATAAGCCATATTAGCTCCAGCACCAAATAAAGACAAATCCAAGCCTCCATCAAAATAGCTATTTGAAACAAACCAACTTTTCATTCTTTTATTTCTCATATAGGTTCGAATTTCACAATCATCACGAACTTGAAAAAGTGGCTTACAATCAATTGATTCTTTAAATTTGACAATGGGTTGCATAGCACGAGTAGGTTCTTTATCATTCATGCAAATACCACAGAGTAAGCCACAATTATCAAATATTCTTTTCCACTGATTAAGGTCTAGATCAGTAGCTAAAATTGGTCCATTTGTTGAATGAGTTGACATTGTTTCTCCTTTCTAAAGAAACATATCAATCAAATATATTTTTATATAATACAACATATAATTTTTCTTTTATCCTAGGACCATAGGTGTCGAAACCATTAGGCTTGGGAAGACTGAGTATCTGTAACAACTTAAATACATTTCAATGTGAATTTTGATCCATATATCAGATACACTCTCGAAATAGTTCATTTTCTTATATGCTTTTCATACATTCATGCCAATTGGAAACGATATGAATATTTCAAAATGCTCCAGTACCAGAATAGGAATACGTGTTATATTTATTCTTTTAGTTTTCCAAAAAATCTCTACAAAAATTGGGTGAATACCAAATAAAAAAATATAAACGGAAATAATTGTTCCGAACTACACATACTCCGAGTGCAACCAAATAGTGTTTTCAAGTATGAATATGCAACAGATAGGTGCTATGGCTCAACGAATTAAATAAGTTGAAAGGATAGAAAATCGCAGAGACCTATATTTTAGTTTTATGTCGTATTTTCACAAAAATTACAACAGCATCTTACTTAGCTTATAAAAAAAACAAGTATTTTCAATTTTTCGCCAACAAACTCAAGAATAATGAAACTACATCTTGTATTTATTACTGTTTTATATGACTTTTTTAAGTTTATGAGCTTGATAAGCATAGCTCTTCATACCGGTAAATATTTATTATAGGATAAAAGAAATCCTATCTCCTTCTATATATTTTTTGTATTTATAAATCTTTTCTTTTGTATGAGTTTGGAATACGAGTATATTCTTCAGCAAATAGTTTACTGTTACCTTTAAGAAAAAGGATATATTCTATCTACATCTAAAAACCGACGTCTCAAAAATTAAAATAATACAAGAAGATATAATTTTTTAGCTTATAATAAATGATTACAGTACAAAGAGTTTTATGAGAAACTATGTCTATCACGCTCATAAACTTAAAAAAGGTATATAAAACAGTAATAAACAGAAAAACAAAGTTTTATTGTTCTTTTGTTGGCTTTTACAAACAAAAACCTTTTTGACGACACCGTTCTTTATTCTATGACTTGCTGCACCTTGAACAACTAGAAAAATCTTCTGAGTGTTTAGGTAGCTGCTTCGATGACCATCCATGACGTCAACTTTTGCAAAATCTAAATAACCTATTAAACACTTGCGATTCAAAAAAAATGTGATTACGCACGATCCCATAGGTACTGTTTTCCCAAGATTAAGCATACTCATTTGAGAATTTTTTAGCCACCTAAGGTGTGGGTGTGGGTGTGGGTGTGTTAAGCACTTAATATTTGATAGATTCAAACAGAACTGGGCAAGTCAATATATATAAGCCCAAAATACCCCAAGTCAAGCCAAGTCAAATCAAAGTCAAATCAAGTCAAGTCTAGTAAAACCAAATTTACTTAAAAAGTTTTCCAAGTCAAGTAAAACTCCGAAAATTAGAAATTTTTATCAAACCAGGTCAAATATATTAAAGAGATTGCCTAAATCAAATCAGAATAGTAAAAATAGTTTCCCATGTTGAATCATACGGTTGTTAAGAGGTATCTTCTCTTTTGATTTTTTTTGTTCGTTCGTACACCTCATTGAATTTGAACTGTATTTATTTATATCATTTGAATGGATTCAGAGCTGGGCAAGTCAAGTCCAAAATACCCCAACTCAAGTCATGCTTGACTTGACTTGAAAAACACCTGACTTGACCAGCCCTGAATTCAAAGCATAACACGACGTTTCGATCTTGCTTAAGGATCTCATCAGGTATCTTAAGAATCCCAATACTACATTATTATATAAAACGCAAATTTTATATAAAAAACAAAAGGTTTAGATCATTAAACAACTCCTAGAATTCTAATCAATAACAATAAAATTATTTCAGTACAAGTAACGCGACGTAAGCGCCGCTGGCCCTCTACTGAAAGGATTTTATTAGATTAGCCAGAGAGATGGTAAATGATCGTATAATAGTTGCGATGTGGATCAAATAATCCTGTTTTAGATGCTCACGCATATTGAAATTAACTGAAATATTTGACGACATTACTGATTCAGGAGATTCCAGTCTTTTAAGCAATTGAAATACTTTTCACATCACATCGTATGATCGATTCGATACAGAAGAGTGTACCTGAGGCATAGTAAGATCACAACAGAAATCGAACAGAGCCTGCCAATAAATAAACTGCTCCCATATTCTGCGAATCTAACTGTGGAAGTTTGCACTCCATTGACATCGCCATTATTTGATTGAATTATCAATGTCTCAATGCAAGGTAAATAATTGTTAGAGTTATAACAGTATTCTCTTCTTACCGTTTTCTTTATCAGTTGCTGCAGCCGGATGACTGATTATTTATTCCAAGTATTTCTCGTATTTAGTTATTTTTCTATTTAATAACGGTTTTGAGTTACAGTCTGAACTAAGATGAACCATTCTCTGAAAAGTTTTCCAAAAGCATACAACCAAAATTAATAGAAATTATTTTCACTTGAATTTGTAAGAGTCTGGCAAAAACTTCAATAAAATCTAGCGAACTTTAGTTTATGCTAACAACCACAAAATATTTTGTATCTGATGAATTTCTTAGGATCGAAAGTGTATCCATCAATAATAAGGTAGGCACTTGACAGATTTTCTTTTTACTTGTGGCGCTCATCAAGTACTATTTATCTACATTAACACGTCTCTATTTCATGAGTTTTTATGATATGATTTTGTTATTTGCATCTAAAGGAATTTGATCTCATATGTAAAAAAACGAGCTACCGTAATTAATTTTGTTTAATTGTGCTTCAGAATTACTAATAAAATAGTTAATCAAAAGTTGGACTCTTCTTAGAGAATGTATTTTAGTAATATGAAACATAGAGTAGGAACGATCAGTAGACAAGAATACAGCCAAGTGCCCGCCTGCTGTTTACTCAAACTTTACGAACGATTACTAGCAACAAGGGTTTGGGTGTAGGTGTGTGGATGGGTCAAGAGTTTACCCATCTCCACACCCTCACACCCACACCCAGCTTTAAAACATTTTGATTGAATAACGATCTTTGGTTGCTATTTTGGATTTACGCGATTGCTAATTGTAGGTAAACGATGCTGTACAACACGAAGTGTCTGATTGCCTCTTATTCGCATGACACGATTGGCAATTGTAACTGACCAGTGTTTTAGCTGATTAAATCTCTCACACAGACAACTTCGAAGATTTGGAGTGATCCAAAAGAGAATTGAAACCATAATACATGGTGATGTGTCCATCATGAAGAGTAAGACATGAAAGTATTTTACATTTAATAGTTCTAGGCGAATTATGACCATTATCATTACAATAGCAGCTGGCAGAGAGGTTACAACTAACTGACCATTACGTAGTACAATTCGACGGACCATTGCCAAATCTCGACACATTGTCTTTCTTCATCACCGTAAACTCTTGCCGAAGCATTGCGCATAAACTTTATTAAGCTAATATAGATAACGATCAGAATAGTATCAGGCGAAATGAATGAAATTATAGGCGTAATAGCGAATAACAAAAGGTTTTGATAATGCAAGTAAACACATATTCTCGAAAGAAACTTTCGGCATGTTACCTGTAAATAAAAGAGGCAATAGAAAGACGATATCGAGAGTCCATTGAATGGCAACGAGATAAATTTTGTGAGTTTGACTATAGAGAATTTTGATTGATTTAATACTACGTACAATACTTTTGTATTGCCTGAAGCACAAGTGAATGATGAATATAAGCACGAATCGAACAAAAGAAATCTATGTCTGGTTGTTATTGTTGATCCCAAATAAGCGTATAACAACTAACTGCTAGATTATTAACAGCAAATGCAAGCACAACCAGAGTAATATTGCATGCTAGTAATGTTGGAAAATTAAAATATTGACGTCGATGTAGAATTGCAATCAAAAGAAAACTAAATGCCACTATAGTAGTCAAACAACACACGAATATACTTAGTCGGTTCATATTGGTCGGCAAATCCATAATGGTAGTAACAATTAAGAATTTAATTAAGTATTAGATTTTAATCTACAGTACACGCCTTTTATTGAATGAAAAAGAAAGATAAGATAATATTAAGGATATTCTTTCTGCATGACAAGCATTTATAATTATAATTTGTTAAGATACTTCTCAAAATGAATCCTTGATGCATCTGCTTTTCTAATCTCTTTATAGAATATAGAAACCCAATGACTAATGCAAGTAAAAGAAAGACCAATGACTTATTGATTTCACATCAATTTTGAACATGTTTATTGATCATATCACGGGACGATATTTTGATTAAAACAAGTGTCTCTAGATGAGTGATAATCTCTTCAGGACTGTCGACAGATTCCATTTAGTAAGCTTGATTAGAATATTTTTCTGATTGTGCCTTATGTGTATAATACTTTAAGCTATCATTTTAAGTAGTCTTTACGCAATCTATCTAAGGTTCAATTGATTCCAAGCTGGAGTAATATCTCTTATTTACTTTCCTACGTTTTTGTAGTGTTTGATTTACAACAGCTCCTTAAAAAATCTTCATAAAATAAAACACTGACCATATGCCAAGGAGATAAAGGCATCATAGAATATGTATTAGAATATTAAAGAGAACTTCAGAAAAGTAAAGCAATACATTCGAACCCGTAGATAACCACTTTTAATATATACAAACTATTAATTACATGAAATGTCAGTTGGCAACTCTAGTTTTTTCTTTGTCATATGTAGCACATTTTTTTTATATAAAGGGTGATCTAAAAGTCTTGGTACTTCGCATAAAAATTTTATTTTCTTCCTTTTCTGCAAATCAAACAATTCTCAAACTTGGGTATATAGTAGCTTCCAACTAGAGGGTGTGTATACGGATGTGATGAGAAGATCCACACCCACACCCTCAAACATATCTTCAAGTGTGATTGGCTAGATTTTATCTTTGGCGGTTGTTCATCAATCAATTTCAGTGATTTTTTAAAGAGAAACTAGAAGAAGAAGGATTTGAAAATAAATGTATCTTTATTTTAAAAAAATAATTGTAACAATCTGGAATACAATCACTCCAGCAACGTGTTCCAAAGGATTCGACTCAATACCCAGACGACTACAAGCTTTGATTTAGAAAAATAGCTATTTAATCAACAGAAAAGACTATGGCAACGTATAAAAATATAATTTATTCTATTACTGCTTGTTGTATTTATGATAAAATTAATTATTCTAGATGTTTTTATCAATAAAACGTTTACGACGTTATAGAAAAAATAAGATCCTCACTATTATTTGAGTGTATAAATCTTTTTTGTAAGTGAGAACTAGAATTTCGAAAATTTAGGATAATATTCACCTAGTTGCAAGCTATTATATACCCAAGTTTGAGAATTGTTTGATATATGTACAAAAAAGGAAGAAAAATTTTTTTATATGAAGCACCAAGACTTTTGAATCACCCTTTATGTTACAACTCAAATGTTTTATGATTATTTAAGTCAGTCGCTTCAAAAAATACTCCTTCTTTCTTTCGATATTTCATTTTTTTTATGATTTGTTGTGACATTCATATCTTCCTAAGCATATCATATCACCCGGAAGCCGTTTTTAAGGGTAAGCGTTCGCAAAATAAACATAGCATATTCAGATTCATCATGGTCAGTTGCCATCGCCGCTGTTGAAATCTCAAGAGGGTACTTCTGACCATCAACCAAAAACAAATTTGAAGGTATGAATCTAATGAGAAGATCCACATCCACGCTCTCGAATAAATAGATATTTTAAAATGTTTATTTGAAGAAAATTGAGTGGTGCAATCCAATTATCTTTCAATGTCATGAGTAGTGGCAATGTCTGACTAAATAATTTAATGCAATTTCAAAAAGATTATCAGTTGGACTGGTTGTATTCAACTGCTTGGGAAGGAACATCGATCGGTTGTTTTTCGTCATATCTCGCAGCTTCTTGATGTCGTCCCAGCCTGTGCAATATATCTGCAATTTTTTTACAGGTGACGTCAAATTTGGAATGTGAATATTCAGGAAATTGTTTTTGAATTTCGAGTGTTTTCTCATAATATGAGAGTGCAGTCGAATAGTTTTCCATTGAGTGATATGTTTCAGCTATAGCGTTATACCTCGTACCCAAAATAGGATAATTGATTGGCAACGATTTTTCTTGTATTTCGAGTGCTGTTTGAAAATATACAAGTGCATTTGAATAGTTTCCTATTGATTGATACGTTTTTCCAATGTTGTAGTAGGTGGCGCCTATACTAGGATCAGTAGATGACAGCGAATTTTGCTGAATTTCCAGTGCTTTTTCTTGACTTGAGAGCGCAATCGAGTGATTTCCCATCGATAGGTGTGTTGTGCCAATGTTGTTATAAGTCTTAGCTAAGTTGTAATGAGTAGATGGTAATGAATGTTGCTGAATGTCGAGTGTCTTCTCAAGATATGAAAGTGCAGATGTATAGTCTCCGTTTAAGTTATGTATTCCAGCAATATTGTTATAGGTGATGGCCAGAGAAGCATGATTTGGCAGAAGAGATTTCTGTTCGATTTCGAGAGCCTTCTCATAATATAAAAGTGAAGTTGAGTAGTCTTCCAACAATTTCAGGGTTGCACCAAGATTGTTGTAAGCTGTGGCACGAGAAGGATGTATTGGTGGAAGAGATTTTTCTGGGATTTCTATTGCCTTTTCAAAGTATAAGCGTGCACTCGAATAATCCCCAGTCATATAATAGAATTGGCCCATATTATTATAAGTGATCGCCCAATCTGGATCTATTGGTGACAGGAATTTTTCTTTGATTGCAATTGACTTTTCATAGTATGATAATGCAGCAGAGTAGTTTGCCATATTGGCATAAACTGTCCCAATGGCACTGTATGTCTTGGCCACTTTTAGATCAATGAGCGAAGGAGTATTTTCTCTTATTTCGCGTGATTTCTCAAAATGTTCTAATGCCGTTGAATTATGACCTTGTGAATATTTGACGAATCCTAATTGATGATAGAGATAAGCGATTTTATCCAAATCTTTTCCGGATGTGGCGTTAATTATCCCGTAAAAAAATTGTTCTGCTCTGTCAAATTCTCCCATTTTGATCATCAGATGACCGAGTCGATGACTCACTGGAAGCTCTTCTATTTCTTGCTGCATATAATTCGTGAGACATTTTAACTGTTCATCGTTGTCATCTGTTAATGTTAAATCGATATTCCACAATCGATCATCAATGCGATACGTATTTTCTATGCGACAGACTGTATGCATAGAAAAGAGGATTTCAGCTTCTTGATCAGAAAAATAGCTGATGCCATCTAGCGGAGCAAAAACAGTTGATGAGATTGATGGATCGATCTCTATTTGAAATATAACTGGCACAAGCTCTGAATGGCTCCGAGCACTGTCCGCAAAAAGATAAGCGACTTGTCGATCAGTACTGGTTGACAAGAAATTATTGAATGAGAATAAACCACCGTGACTTCGCCGAATCTTCTCTAGTTCAGCATGTGAGATGCATTGGCCACGATAAACTATTCTTTTTATTTGTCTATCTGTTTTCAAGTACACCTGTTCAATTTGTCGGTGTACATCTCGGACGATGAAACCCATTTTGATAATGGTTTCATTATCTTGTGTGCGCAGAGCTGTATTGAGCATTGAATAAATAAACGACTCCTTTGTGTACCACCAAATGGGTGTCTCATTATAGTAATCTCGGTCAAATGTACGAATCGAATTGATATTGCCGGAATTTCGAGTGCAAAGAAAATTGATTAATTCTTGCTTCGATTGATCTCCATATTCAATTTCGAGTAGAACTTGTTTTATCAACTGCGTATACATAAATGAAGGATCGAGTTCCTTCAAATTATTTGGACACGATGTGGAAACAATACTGATCGGCATGTTTTCGTATTTGTACTGCTGCGTATTTTGTTTAATTTGATTACAAATGGCTGAGATGTCTGGAAAAACGCCATTGATTTTTCTCGATTGCTTGAGCAAATGCTCCGATATAATCGTGTCCGTAGAAAGAATATAAATGGAGTCTAATTGCGAAGAATGTAGAAGCTTTGGTATAAGATTTTCACCACAATTTTCTGACAAAATCAAACTAAATTTTTGTTTATTGACACGTTGCAGAAAATCATTGCAATCATCTTCATTTCTAAATAATTTGATCGAATCAACAATGCATCGAAGTTTAGTAATAGACTGTTGGTAATCACAATTGGCCTCATCCATATTTGCATCCAACCAAATTATAATAAAACCGTCAATTGCATTCGACCATGAAGATTGAAGTGACATATTTCTGATTACAGAACTTTCTCCAGTAGTTATTTCGTTTGAACGCACAGACTCACTTTTACATGAACATATTGATTCTGGAATTTGATGAGCGGGCGCGGGTTTTGTATTGGTAGGATCCATTACACTCAGTTTTCACAATATTTAATCTTGTTTTCAGTATGTCTTTCGATTTAGTTTTCTTCTTCAAATGTATAGTAGTCGATGTTCCTATTTATACATAAATATTGCAATATAATTTTCTCTGACAAATCTTGGCATTTTCCTAGTTGTTTGTTACAGCGATTGGCCGTTTTCACAGCACTTGGCGTCATTATTTCCAATTCAATTCTTATTACTGAGATAAGAAACAAGAGAATCAGAACATGTGCTCATTTTGCCATCACAAAATGGCCTGACGAATAAATGAAAAACTAATATTCCTTCTGTTACATGCATGCCCTCACATGATTCATCATCACTTTCATTTACTTTCTTTCATCTATTTATCCGCCACATCCATCGATATACACATGTCAATTGCCATCTTAAATCTGTACTGTCTTCTGAGAATTATAAAGAATAATTGTCTTGTGGTATAGATGCAACAGAAATACAAACTACGTATCTCCTTCAACTACCAATTTTTCATGAATTTCAGAAGAGCAGTCACTATCAAGATATTGTAGCTGAGTTTCGAAAAATGATATGCAACCGACTGTTATGCAATCACTAATCAAATTCTCTTAGAATATTGCAATTAAGAGCACTAGAATATGATCTTTTATGAGTTTATGCAGTTTTGTCAAGTTGTAAGCCAATGACTCTCCTGCTTGGAGTGTGAGTGAAGGTATCAGTGAGAGGAAAATAAGACCAAAAGGACCCACTCCCACCTTCACGTTCTTCATTTATATTGAAGTATTCCTGATCTCGAAACTTTGTCGTTTAAAGTAACAATTTACGAATTCGCTGAGCATCACCATTTTGCGTCAAACTTATTTTAGATTCTCTAGCATTGGAAGTAGGTAGAAACGGTAAAATATCCTCTATTCAAAAAAATAATTGTATTTCAAAGTCAATTTGAAGAGCTATAACTTGCCTTCGTTTCTAAGTATATAGCGAATGAATCAATTGAAATCTGTTTTTTGTGAGTTTAAAGCAAAGGTTTCATTTGATTTTCAAAATTATATCAAAACTACTTAATTGTGTTTAATCATAGAAGAAATCTTCATAATATCACTTGATACTTTTTCTATGATGTATGAATTAAATTATATTCGTGTAACACAGAATTTTGAAAAATAAACTGTAACTCGAATTTATCATTGAAAAATCACAGTTATTTGATTTTTTCATGAAATTACCGTTTTTTTCTCAGAACCGGAATAAGAACTGAATAAAATCAATATGCCATCCCAACACAGAAAAACACATAACTCAGAATTAGAGAATCACATTTTAACAAACATGATTATTAAAATTCAGGTGGCTTATCGGTTCTCGATTTACACAATAGGAAAAACAGACAATGGGTAAAATATCAATATCTTTGAGTTAGTATGAAGGTTTCAATTTAGATCACTTCAAGCAAGTTTCATTCGTTTGTTTTTTTCTAAAATATACAATTATTTAAATGACTAGAAACTTCGCCGAGCCAATTGTGGGTGTGATATTTTTAATTCACCGCACCCACACCCATTGACCTTGCAGTCAGATAGTTACCATTAGTATGCTGTCTCATTTTAACAACAACAATGCTCTCAACACTGATTTATTTTCTCATGTTTATTCTATTCAGGCAGTTCGGAAATCGATGACTTTCGTTTTCAGTCTCACTGTTTTACATGACAAAGTAATATAAAAAAAAAGGATACCAATTCTATAATAAACTCGCTTCAAATTTACGAGAATGATGCATTCAGAATCCTATGAAAAAAATGAATGAGCTTAAGTTCAATTGTATTTGAATGATTGAATATTAAATATTTATTTATTTTTTAGGCTGAGCAATTTTGAAAATTTAATAAAATTTATAAATTTAATCATCAACTTTTTAATCAGCTAGCACAAATAATTTTTACGCAATTGATGAAGACAGTCACTGTGAGTTAAACTTAAAAACGGAATGCGATGCGAAGCTCCAATCGGATCTACTACAAAGACCTTGAATCCGAAAAAAATCTTAAATAATTTCCATGTAAACATGATGAAATTCATCATCTGAAAAACTCTATCAATACTTAGAAAAGTCCTTTAATTTTCGTCATTTTGGAACGATATTTGTGAGCGAACGGGACTTCAGATTAAAATTTCGAAAAGACATCTCGGAGTTCGAACGAATTTTCTATGACTTATAGTTCTCGAGATCATCGAGTCAGAAAATGACGGGACGTTATGCGTGTTTCGAGCTAAAAAGTAAGAAAGGAAAAACAATCGCAACGGACTACATGAATGGTTTGCTTCGCATCGCATTAAAAATAAAATGTTTCTTCAAATTATTATCAGTCAACGTTGAATTACGAAGGCAACTGTTCGCAACAGTACTAATCATACTGATATTCAGGAGAAAAACATGTGAAATACTTGCATAAGGATTAAGTTTTTGATGAAAAATTAAATGATTAACAAAGCATCGTAGTAATATCAATAGGTGAAATTGTCATTTATTTTACTGTCAATAATGTGCAATATATAAGCGGACAATGACACCAGATAGTTTCATCTTAAACATAAACGATGGTTTCAAAAGAAATCTCCTGCTTCACTTTCATTCTTTGCAGGGAATCATCTAGCGTTTTGAAATAGTTTTTGCAATCTTTACATATTTGGTTGCATGTATTTTGCTTTTCATATAGCATTTTGATAATTCGAGTAAAATCTCAAATATGTCATGATGTGCCTTTGAATTAGTGGCTTGTTCTGAACTAGTTGCATGCAATCTCACTGATAAGCGTTGTTATGAACCCGGCAATATATGCGTTCATCATCCTCAATGTGACAAATATCCTGTTTGCTCTCCAGTGCCGATTTAAAATTAAAAGCTTTGTCCACTGATAACAAGTAAGTTAGCGACGTTTAAAAGATTGTCGATTTTATTTTGATCGGGAAAATCCTTTTCAAATACTTACACTAAACTTCCGCTGAGTGCTTTTCACTACTAAACGTTCCCTAGCTGGTAATATACAGAAAAAGTAAGTAATGACGAAAATCAACTTTCATCTTTTGTAGTTCCTTTTAATCATTTCTAATATTTCAGATAATGAGCAATGGAATCAGAACGGAATGACTGTTGCTGGAGGTAACGGGAATGGCTGTGCCACCAATCAGCTCTCCGCGTCTTGGGGGTTTTTCATTGAGAAGGATCACACAATAATCATTGCTGATAGCCGTAATCATCGTATCATCCGATGGAAGATGTGTGATAGGAATGGACAAGTCGTTGCTGATGGTAATGATCTAGGAAAACATGAAGTTAAACGATATCAAACGGGAGATAGAACTGTAACTCTTGTGGCAAACGGAAATGGGAATGGTACAAATCTTAATCAACTCAGCACGCCGACTTCTGTTTTTGTCGATCTACAACAGGCCCTGTACGTATCAGACTACCTGAACAATCGTGTAATGAAATGAAGTAAAGGTGCACAAGAAGGAATTGTGGTCGCTGGAGGGAATGCTCTGACGCAATTGTGTTATCCTCGAGGACTGTTCATCGATATATCGGGTACACTCTATGTGGCAAAATCTGGGAATGGTCGAGTGATCCGTTGAAATCACCAAGGGAAACAAGGCACTGTGAATCGGCGTGGCAATCTCTATGTTGTTGATAATGACAACCATAGAATTCAATGATTCAATCGCATAGATTCATTAAGATTTGTTTTTTCTTTCAAATAAGCAAAAACAAACAGTTGATGCACTATATTCACTTGTGGATATAAAGCAGTGATTTCAACATTGAATATCAGTAGAAGCTTGAGTATTTTATAATGAAAATATCTAAGTATGAAATTATATATTCATTCATGTTCTTAATAGAAAAAAAAATTTCTACAATTGAAATGATTCACACTGATCTCGAAATATTATACAAATTTTATGGCAACTCTTCTTGTTTCAATGGCATAAAGTTCGATAATGAATTACAATCAACATATATATATTCATACATTGTAAAAGCAGTTGTCGTATCTTTTTTTTTCTTTTTAAATCATGTATAAAAAACAAATGTGAACATATACTATTGTGACTATGTTGTATATTAAAGCCAATTTGTTTGAACGTTTTTATTCAAGGACGAAAATAGATTGACGAGAGAGTGAGAATGATCGATCGCGCCACTCACACGCGCACATACACAGATTTCACAGCACCAGCAACACACAGACAGAAAAAAAAGAGTAGAAAAAGGGCTGCTAACAGAATAGACATAGAGTTTAGTCGATCAAAGGGAGATTCAAAAGACAAAAAAAAGAACCACCGGCGGGTTTTACATGAGTAGAGAAAAGAATAAAATAAACCGTACAAGAATTACCTACCGTTATGACAAAAAAGTAGAGATGTCTGTTAAACAGAAGAAAAAGAAGGAAAAAAAAGAAAGAAGTATCTCACCACACACATACACACACGCACGCACACAATGAAATAGAGGCTTAGTTTTTTCTCTCCCTCTCTCTCTCTCTCTCCTTTGTTTTTGTTAATATTTTAATTGTTTTTTAACTTTCTAATTTCTTTAATTGCCCAATTCGCCAATGTTTTTGTCTTCATGACTTTTGATCGTTTACCTTCTGCTAATAATTTTTCGAATGGTTCACGTTCAACGAACTGTAACATAGCTTGACCATAAGATGTAACAAGATCACCAATTAAACCAATTGCTGCACCAACGATTGAATCAGATTTGTTTGGATCACGTGCTATAGTTTCAAGAAATTGCACTATGAATGGTAGTTGAGCTGTAACTAATTGTAATTCTGCAAGTGCTGCTGTATTCGTAGTTGTTGGATTACGTAGACCTTGAATTATACCAGTATATGCAGATAGACAACCTTCGCGTAATTCATTTAGATAATCAATCATATCATAATCATTGTTTGCTACTTGAGCACGGCAAGCTTGATTGAGTGTATTTAAAACATGTTCAAGATATTTTTTAAAATTACCACCAATCGCCAAAGCGATGTCACCAAATGTACTTAGAATTTGAGGTTTCACTGATCGATGTAATTTGTCGTTCTAAAACAAGAAAAAAAATTCTAAGACAAAATTATCAAATCAACTTACACTAAGACATGTAAGTAAATGTGTCATTATGAGATCGCAGTAGGGTGTTAATTTATCAAGTAATGAACGACTTAGATCAGCGATAACACCGACTGCAGCTGCGCATATTTGATATTCTGAATGATTATTTAATGCTTCATAAATAAATGGAAGAACATGTTCCATGTATTTCATAAAATTTATTCCCAATACTAAACAAAAAGAAAATGAATGAATAATGTTAGGCAAAATCCAAGACTGCCACAAAACAAACCTTCAACAAGAGTACCAATGGCAACAAGTGCATCTTCTTGAACAGCACTTGCTTTACCGGTGCTTGTTTTAAGCATTTGTAATAGAGCTTGCATGATGGGATCCGATATTAATGGTGCGTCATTAGGTTGCATTTTTCGTAGGACACTCTGAATTTAAGAAAAGATTTTTTTCAAATCAGAAGACGACATAATTTTCTTTATTTACTTGAAGTGTTGCGCAAAGTAATGATTGAAGATCACTGAGTTGCACTCTATCATTTGGATTCGATGCATGACTTTCAACAGATATAACACGATTAAGACGATCAAGTACAGTTACAGTTGTTTTTTGAACGGTAACATAACAATCCTAACATTCAAAAAAAAAAAAAATCTCGAATATATTTTTCATTAAAATTGTTCGTTCATACTTTTGGACTATGTCGAATCATTTCCATTAGTGCTTCATAAGCTGCGTTTCGTAAATTTGATTGATTACCATCAGGTCTAAAGGGAGAAAACATTTTCAAAACTTAACAAAAAATCTCGTTTTATTTACCTATCCGTTGTTTCAATAAGTTTTTTTACAATATCATCAAAAAATGGCGATAATAAATAAGTATTCGGTGTATCATCATCCTCTGAACTTTCGGCATGATCATATGCTGCTCGTGCTAAACTTGAAAATGACTGGAAAACAACAGATTTTACAAAAATGTTCGTTTTCATCTTTTCGACTTACCCAGCAAATATTTGTTGCAACACGTGGTACATCATCTAAACCATTTACAAGTGTACTTCCAATAGCTCGAAGTAATTCGTTTGTCATAACCGCTTGTGAAACAAATTCAAATATTCGTCCGATCGTCCACGCTGTTGTATCACGTACGGCAACATTGGAATCACGTAGTAGTTCAAGTAAAAATGGTATAGCTTGTTCAGCTATTGGCTTAATACTTGCAACGTCGGGTCCTTCTAACATTGAACCGAATGCCATAACAGCTGCTTCTCGATTTCTCCAGTCGGAATTTTTTATATTGGCGCTGACAAACGGAAAAACATATTGAATTATTGCATTCTCAGCACAATTAGCTAAGAGCATAAGACAAACACCAGCCGATTTACATGGATTCCACTCGTCGTCATCATCAGTTTCTTCTTGCATTGTTAATCGCTGAAGTAAAACTGGTACTAAATACGGTAATGCACCACGGGCATAATAACGGCTTGTTCGTTCAGGTTGGCGATTTTGTTCTTGTGACTAAAACAAAAACACGATCTCTATGAGCAAAAACCGAAATCTCGATCATGTCAACGAAACTTACTTCTTGTTGAAGTAATTGTAATTCATATTCTTCATCGCAAACATTCGACCAAAACTCAATACCTTGTAAAGCTATTTCATCGTGAGGTGATTTCATCGCATCCATTGTGATCTTGAAAATAGAAAATAAAATTTAGTTGCCATAACATATAGGCTAGAACTTCTATGAAAATCCCTATGACCCATGCTTAATAAATTATCTTGAAGAAAGGAAAATCTTCTTACTGCAAATAATGCTGGTCCCATATAATATTCCATGTAATCATAATATAGTGTTAGAATTTTAACAAGATTTTGTAAAGCGGCAACTTGAATTTTTAAATTTGCTGATTGTGTAGCCTCACAAACAACTTGCATTATATAATGTCTTTCACTCTAGGTTGAAAAATAATCAATAATTGTTGTCGTAAAACAAAATTCGTCTTTCCTTACATCATTTTGAAAATTATTCTTTGTAAATTCTAATGAATTTAACAACGCTGTTATGGCCGCAAGTCGTACGTTATCATTTGTTTCTTCTTTTCGCATGCCATAGATAAGTGCAGTTAATATAAGATTACTTTGAGGTTCAAGTACATTTGAATCCTAGAGAAAATTTTGTTCTTTTGTTTCCTTTTCTTTTTCTTTTTTTGTTATAAGGAAGAAAAGATTATGTTAAGAGAAAAAAAGAAAACAAAACACAAAAAAACACACGGATGAATGAATGAGCTTACAATATCTTGGCATATGTAACCGAGTGCTTCCAAGCTCGCTTCGCGTACATTATCGGTTCTGCCCACTGTAGTAACATTGTCAACCAGGCGTTCTAAGATGGTACACACACATACAATCAACACTCGTCAACACTCTCATGAAAATTTCGATATATCAATCAAAATCAAGATACCGTGACTACTTACTTATCAAATCTTGCCATTGAGCACGTGGTAATTCAGCACAAGCTATATAACCAACACACTGGGCAGCTTGCGATGGTTTTGTAGTTTCAGTACCAAGAGCATTAAAACACTATTTATAAGGAAAAAAAATGAAATATTGTTTGTTCTTTTTCAATAATGATTCCTACATTTGTTTTAATGTGATCTCTTATATTTTCTTGTATACTAAGCCATCGATCTTGATAGACTTGTTTTAAAGCTTCTTCACGTGAATAAAGAGCATTTTTAAGTTGCAATGCTAAAAAACAAAAAAAAAGAAACATTTTAAGTAAAGCTTTTCGGCTTTAAAAGTTTTGTCACTATTTTTACCTGCTTGTGCACGTGCTGTTGGATTATTTGTGGCGGTAATTAGAATATCGGACAAATGTTTTAAAAGTTCCGACTATAAAAACAAAAACCATTAAATTCATTTTATAAGAAAACTATGTTACAGACTAAATTTTGTTCAGTTGCTGTAGCAAGAAACCTTCGTGCATGTTCCAAATCAGCTTGTGCTAAATAGAAATATAATTGCATAGTTATTTATGTATGCTTTTGAAAATGAAACACCTACAGCCAGTGACAGTTCGTTCGAGAATATTGATGAGTCCTTCCGTGGCCATCGGACTCGTTTAAAGATAAAAGAAAGTTAATCTAAAACAATGAAACAGATGTTATTCGGTGTTTCATATTTTATTTCAACATAATTCTTTTCTTTTTATTTTAATATAAAAACGAGATAAAAAACATTCAAACAATTTGTTTGTTTGTCAGTTTTTCTTATCTTCATTTAAGCCAGGAGAGCAGCAGCCGTCGATGATTCATATTTCCATGTGGGTGGTAAAACTTTTTTAGTTTTATAATATCTTGCTAATCGATGAATACGACTTTCAACAAGAATTAAACGGAATTTTGAATCTTTGTCTTTACGATTACGTTCCAAGTGTTTACGAATGGCAACAGCTTTCTTTATTAAATGATGTAAATCTTCTGGTTTGCTTGGTGCAAGACCTTTTGCTTTCATTATACGTAAGATTTTATTGCCGGTTACAAAACGTGTTTGTGCAACACCATGAGAGTCTCGAAGAATAACACCTGTAAATATAAAATTTATTCATTATTGAGAATAATTTTGTCGACGAATTTCATTACCGATCTGTGATGGTGTTAAACCTTTCTTTGCTAATTTGCATATTTGATCAACAACATCTTCTGATGTTAATTTGAGCCACTATGAAAGAACAATAGAAATCAAGGTTACTATTGTTTATTTTGATAGATAAAATAAAGCATACCGATGGTACTGTTCGTTTATAGGGTAAAGCAGAGTCTGAAATACCCTTGCTGAAAACAAGAAAAAGAAATTACAATGAAAAGTAAAATGAGTATTTGTTAGATTTTACCCAGGAGCATGCATACGACCCATGATGACGGTTTTTTAGTCAAAAATCTAGAAAAGAATAGAAGAGAAAAAGATATAATTATTTTAAAAACAAAAAATGGCCACATGTCGCTGATTGTTTCAATGAAAGAAGTAAATAAAAAATAAGATTGTCCTATCAAATTTATAGTGGCCTCCCATTGTCTACAATGGACTATATGATAAATCTTAATGTTTCATTTTTCATTGAAATTTTGAAATATTGAAAGAAAATAAATATTTTTTTCATGAATAAATAATTACACTTCTAAATGGGTAAAAATCAAACATTGATTTTGATTGGAGGAAAAAGTGACGAATTGTTCTGGATTGGGAATCTATGGAACTACGGTGTGCTCAATTAAATTCGGTACCCTATTGCTTTCATATTTATTTAAAAACAGATAACAAAGATGTTCAATACTTCAGACAAGCAAAGAAAATAAAATTTTAATTGAAATAAACTTGTTTGTTTAAAATTTGTAATTGATTAATAAATTGTAGAAATTGTTCTTGAGTCAGATTTTGATTTTTCTGTTGAAATTTCTCCGCGAATCTCGTTCTTATTCTTTCATATTCATTTATCCATGGATATGCTAATATTGCTTTAGCATATAACAATAATTCATTTCCATTTCGAAATTGATAAAACTCATCTAATTCCGGTAGAATATCATTTTTCATAAACCATTCTTTCACTTCTTTATCACTCCATTGTTTGATATCTAACGAATTTCTCACTAAAGATATGTTCATATAAAGATGTTCATTGATCATCGATAGTAACTCTTCACATGTACCTATAAGATTTGTTTTATCAAATCGAATAGATTTTAGTCGTGCTATTCGTTTATGTAGCCAACCGGTTGGTTTAAAATCCCGATCGATAAAAATTGGAATAAATAGTTTTTTCAACTTATCCGTAACATAGATTAATTCCTGGCGACAAGATTTATCGTAGAAAAAATCTTTTGATAGAAGAAAAACAACAACATCCGCTTGCGCAAGTGTTTCTACTATATCTTTCCATAGATATTTACCAGTATTAAAATCAACACTGATAGATAATTTAGGAATAGCGTTTAAGATATCATATAACTGTCGACAGAAATCAATATTAACATGAGAGTAACTAATCGTCAGTGAACAAGTCATTTTTCTATTACTGTTAAATTGATTTTCTAATTTCGAAGGTAATAATAGATATAAATTGTGTAGGATACCGTCGGCTGTTCTCTTTAATGATGACATTTGCTGAGGTATATAAATGTATGCTAAAGTATAATTGAGTGTATAACTTTCACGCAATTCTTCGAGTAGTTTGATTAAATCAATATTTTGAATTAGATCATTTTTATAACCATCATGAAATGAAATACTCCATAAAATATTTCCTAAAGCCATAATGGCTAAAACTTCTAAACCAATATCAACATCATCGATATTTTTCTTCCCGATGTCTGATAGAAGTGTTCGCAAAGTTGTTAGAAAAAATCCCAGGCATCCATTTTTTTGAAGAATAAAATCCAAAATGTTATCATTCGCACATAATTTCATTAAGCCTATTAATAGTTCTGATAAATGAAGCCATTTGTTTCGAAATATCAGAGATGCTGAGGTATTTATAGTTGTCGATAAGACTTGATTAATTGCATCACTATTGACTTCTTCAACAAAAAGAACATCTGGATCGACGATGAGGACAAGAATTAAATCGAGCATTTGAGAAACGAGTTCACGCATGTTTTTATCAATAATGAAATCTACATGGACATGTAATGCTTCGTTTTTGAATTGATGCACGATCTTTGCACAATTTAGTTTATTGAGAACGATTACACCGTCGTCATGGCATGCAATATCCTTTAAAGTAGAGATAATGAGCAAATATCCGGTAGCATTCAAATACGATAATGATAACCACGATAAACATATTTGTGGATAATCAATATTAATAAATATTCGTAGCGTTAATATTTTCACAGTCAAATTTGCGATGAAAAGTAATATTTGTTTCATTAATTTTTTATTATTTTTTTCATTGACTCTTAAATGTTCTTTATTTTTGAAATAATCATTCATAAATCTAATAATTGATGTTAAAACGGGATTTTGATATTTTTCTAAGTCATTATCTGTAATGGTTATTTGAATACGATTCAACACTTTCAACATAGTATACAATACAGAACTACAAGAATTAATAAGTATTCGATCGGGATCTAAATTTGTGTTTAAATTGTTTTGAAGATACGAAATGAGTTTTGCCGATGAGTCAAGCTGTTTGAATAAAGAGAAAAATAGTTCTCGTTGAACTCTGAGTGACATTTGTTGAATTAATTTATCGAAATCATAGTGATTTTCGATATCGAGTAATTTACGCAGCAAATGAACGTGCCGTTTTGGATCATAGTGTAGAATCGCATCGACGAATTGATGAAGATCAAGAATTTGAATATAGATTTTTAAGATCTTATTAAAAATAACAAAAGCCAAGGAAGTAGAATAATGTTCTCTAGTGGTCAAATCATGACAAATTTCATTTAATTTGAGAAGAATCGTGGATATTGTTTGGTTTATATTATGAGGTTGTTCAGTAAGCGAGGATACGTCTTGCGACAATTCGTCGATCTGTGCTGAGAGTTCATTGTTTATTTCTTTATTTTCAACAGCTACTAAAAACAATACGAATAGGAACTCGGTATAAACCTAGAGAAAGTTGTTTTCCTATAGCAAATCTGAATTTTTCATTGAATTCAATATCGAACTAGAGGAATGCTCTTTTGAAGTAAAAGAGTTTCTTCTTACCCGCAGGATTTGTTTCTTCGCTTTGTTTTCTGATGGGTAAATGTGATACAGCTGAATAACTTGCCATTGTTTAAAATGATGAAATTATTCGGTTAGTGCTTAGACATTTATTAGTAATAAAAAGAAAGTGAGAGATAAGAAAAACATTTACTACACAAGTGTAGTCCACTTTTTATCTAAATAAATAGAATGATATTGTTCTACGTTGTATTATGAATAGGAATTTCGTTTTCGAATACACTATTACAGAACAAGAAATTAGGGACTTGGCTTGGTTTGAAAACGATATTTAAAACAAAATAGCTTTTTCGGTACAAACTGAATTATCATCGGAAAAAATGTTTTTTGCCTAAAATTTTACTTACAAATATTAAATTGCATAATTAATTATACTTCATCGAGGCCTTCAGATTTAAAGAAAATGATAATGCTCTTTCAATTAAGATCAAAGTGTCTGACAAAACATCTGATATGTGAAAGCAATTATAAATCTCATCTAGGGATGATCATTTATTTTTATTTTGCTTTAAAATAAAAAAAATATTTACGTCATCTTTAGGCTTGTAAAATAAATATTAAGCAACCTTGTTGTTCCATTAAGGACCGAACGTTTAATTAGTATCAAGTAGTTGGCAATAAGAAGTGATACTAAATATAGCGTGTGGGAAATTTTTTGCTTGTGCCAACTTCATTTTTCAATATTATCACACGTCGAAGTAATTCTGTTGATATAAAAATCATATCGATTAACATATCCTGTTACTCAACTAGGTATTAATCTATTTATCTATGATAGACGACAGCTCTAAATAATAACGATTTTTTTACTTCAGCTATTTTGCATATGATTAGTCAATATAAGGAAAGCAGTTGAGTTCCACATTTTGCTGTGCTAAAAAGTGTTTTATGATAATAATTCATCAAAACTCAGAAATAAACACTTCCTTTTATCTATTCATGTGTAAGCAGTTTTGCGATCTTGGAGCTAGAAACACGTCAAATAGTTTAACGAGGAGACTTAATTCATCTTTGCACTTTATATTTCTATTAATTAAATTCTTTCAGTCAAACTAAAGGGAGTGTCCCTGTCGACACTCGACGATTAAGCTTTATGGAAATTATTTTGAAACACTAATAAGAAAATTGTTACATTTCAAAACAACGAAATAACACTATATTATTTATTCTTTTAACATCACAACATTGAATAAGAGAAAAAGAAATAAACTTGTGCGTTCTATCACAAATGTACATAGAGTCAAGCTTTTATTCTTTTAGAATAACAAAGTACCCATGCATCAAGAAAATTGTATGTCATACAAAGTCGAGTATGATATTTATTAGTAAGCGTTTTGTATTCATTTTCTTGAATTAGAGAATAGTTCATTTAGGTTCCCTATCGATTTTGATAATAATTTGGTGTAGGCTGAATCATTGGATTATTGTCGAATTGTTCGTTCATTATTTGTTGATTTGGAACTGATGGATCGGATTCAAATAATTTATCGATTTCATCGGCATCAGCGGCATAATCATAAGGAAATGTTATCGATGATTCTACTTTTGCAACTGGTGAATTAGTTAAACCTTTAAATGTTAATTCAATAAAGTTAACTTGATGAGTAACTGTATTGAAAAAAGATTTGATTTCAAGTGACATTGGCATTGAGATGTGTAAAGTTGGATGCATAAAATGACATCGTACTGTTTGAACTGTTGGTGTTCGTAATGATTCTGATAAAGTTTGATGCAAAAGTTGTTGTTCAAGATTATGTATAAAATCTAATATAGATTTTTGACGAAATAAGTCATATGATATAGACGGTAACGTTGATACTGAACGGTCAACAAGAAAAATTTTCCAGTCGTTCGGCGAACAACGACAACGGAATGTACACGATTGAGGATCCTTATAGAGACGCATATTTGTTTCGCTGTATTTTGTTATTAACGGTAGATGGCATATTGCAACAAATGCGAGAAAACCTGATGTATTGTTTTGTACAGGTTTTAATGCATGATCAATGATTTTGGTCATGCCATCAATAATAACCGATGAATACATATCAGGATTACCTTGTTGTTTTAATCGACATTCGAAATGAATGGGCAATCCGATACGTTGATTTAATGACATAATTAGACTTTGATAACGTGCTAAATCTTCCGGATGTATAAATTTTAGAAAATCTTGTCCAAGCCACTGATCACGTGTCACATTTAAAATGCGATTTATTGCATCCGTAACATGAATAATAGGAAATGTTGCTTGTTCAACTGTTGTTACAAATAAAAATGAATTACTTGCTTCGACTGTTAAAAAATTTAATTCATTATCGGTTAAATTTGACGGACGTAATGGATCGTTTTTATGTCGTAAATTCATTTCAGATATTTGATCGGCGGCTATTTTCAGTAAATCAAGATGATGAAGTTTGGTTGATTTTGAGTCACTTCGATTTGTAATTAACATTGATAATTCTCGAAAATGTGCTTTTTCTAATGCTCGTCGATGCGCTTCAACTTGTGTATGTTTTTCCCGTTTATGTGCAAGATCATTGTTATCATCATCTTCATCATCATTGTCACCTGAACTGCCTTCTTCGGCTGATGTTGTTAAAATTGATGCTGTCGTTGATTTTTTATGCTTGCCAGATGGTAGATTTCGGCAACAATCAGTTGATTGACGTGAAATAGTTGGATATGATGCATTTGAATAATTACTGTTCTCACTGCAAATCGATGCCGGTGAATAACTTGCATCCGTATCAGTTGTTGCTTTACGTTTCTGTGATCTATTCATAGGTGATGCTGTTGATTGAGACATTACCGATGTTGGATTCGTCGCCATCGGAGCCGACGACGAGGACGACGGCAATCCGAACAGTTCACCGTCAATCAATGTATTAGGCACATTGGGAGGCAAATTATCGTCGATCTGATAAGGATTATAGTTAGAAAAAAATTGTGGAGTATTCTGCATTAGCTGCAATATCTAAAGATGAAAGAGAACGATTGCCTATGAGAGTTGGAGAATTTATTAGTATGGAATGACTTCGCCTACACGAAGCATGATTTTTAGCATTATTTGTGCACTATTTTGTCGTCCACGTATAAAACGGCAATAATAAACCTGTTCTCCTACGTTCTTAACATTTTTCTCGTCATTTATTGACGTCATTTTTTCTATTCCTGTGTGTTAACACCTGAGTATTTCAACGAGACGACAACAAACCGAGTTTTTTTTTGCCAATACTTACCTGAAACTTTTTTTTCTCTCTGTTGTCGTCTACTATAAGCTTTTTTCCTCTGATGTTAAACTAGAGAGTCTTAAATGAGTAATAGAGTAGCAACAAGAAAAAAAAGTAAAGAAGAAAAGAATCTATCTGACCAATTAGTTTATTCGCAAGTAATTACAAAAAAGAAAAATGAAACTAGAAATGTTAATATTTGAACGATTTTAACGTTGGCTTCATTGCAACCATCTGCAGTGCACAATGTTATTGTTCCTTGCATCTTAATACTTCCTGGGATATCAGGAAAATCTTTCAAACGAAAATTCCCCGTTGAATCCGATGCTTTTGTTGAACTCATGATATTTTCGGTGATACACGTTCGTAAATAAAGATATTTATGTATTAATGAACGATTGAGACCTCGATCAATATCAACAATAATACCAGAAATTTTTACACAGAATCGTGCAGGAAATAGACCATTTTTACCTTTTATTGTTGCTTGGCATTCAGGTTCGAATCGGTTATCAATCGAATGGAATGGATCACTACATGTATCATTTACAAAAGTTGTTGTCATACATTTAAAACACGACAATGTATGAATACTATTAATAAAGCATATAATTAGAATGAGTCTTGCGATGAATAACATAATTGCAAAAACGCCTTGGAAAAATATTGTTTTGTCGATATATTTGATAAATTTCAAGTCATTTTTCTATTTTCTTTCTCTATTTGATTACTCGGCTACCTTTTTCTCTCGGAATTTCTCTATGTTTCTTCCTCGATCAAATGAATATCGTATTCCTGGGCAGCAACACACTAACAACATTTGAGACTTGTTCGTGCAATTCAATGTTAGCTATAATTACTGTTTTCTTTTTTTTTCTCGTCTTCGCCTTGTTGATGTTACACGATGACATGCATATACTATCTAAAAAACCGAAAGCACAACATCTTCTTCTTCTTCTTCTTCTTTTTCTAATCTCATGAGAATAGAATGTCTCTATCAAGCAATATTGTTGTCAATTTGCAATGAAAAAAAAACAATCCAATCATAATCTTTAAGAAAAAGAAGAACTGTTCATGACTTTTTTTATTTTCGTGTTGGATCGTTTTCTCTATGTTCAAATATCGATAATATGCTTTGTTTTTTCCCCATGACATTAAAGAATAGAAACTTGCTAAATAATTATAGATTATTCATAGCATAAACATGAATATGTTTCCAGATGTTTAGGAATAGCCTCGGAAATCCGATATATAAGCGATTATGAAGGTGTTCGTTTATGTTGAAAGTAACCGAGCCCATTAAACACATTTTAGTATCAATGATGTCATCCTTATTCTTTTTAAGTTGCTTATTGAACATCAGTAATTCAATTTTTGCTTTTCTGCAGAAGTAGCTTCAGAATTATGAAATAGGTAAAAATTTTATGTATGCACGTGTATCTTAGAAAACTATGTATTTTAATACTCCGATGCAGAATTGGAATATCAATGATAGAGATGACGAGTTTAAATTGAAATTAGGAGATTTTATTGTTGTCTTGGCTATATGTTGACGAGTATACCAGCATTTGAAAGAAGAAAGATGGCATGTTCTCCTTAATCTCTTAAGAAACTTTGATTGGAATGCACTTAAATACTAAGTTTTCTTTTTTATTTATTCTACTACTGTTAAAGTCATGTATTTTCCTAAAGGCGATGATGAATTTCCAACCAAGCAATTTATTAAATTAAGAATAAATAAATTGTGAATCGACACTTCTAAATATAGTCAATGAATTTGGTCAAAGAAAAAGTCAACTCAATGCTTACACATCCATTCGTATGAGCTTCTCATGGTTTTCATATTCTAAACATTGCATATCCAATAGAAATTCAAGGCTATTTTTATTTATCTGCTAAATAAAAAAAAGATTCGATCCGACCAGAAAATCTTATGCAAAATGTCAAAAAGTCTATATAAAAAGTTTTCATCTAGAAAAACAGAAATATTTAACAGTTTTTACAATAGTATAACTCAGTTCTATTTACTTTATTGATAACAAATACGACTTTAGTAGCCAGACGCGCATTCGAGAATACATACATTTTTCTTATCTATTACTTCTATCGTTTTCAACTTAGCTTTAAAGATGATGAGCTATTTCTTCGAACCAAATCCAAGTTCAAGTAAGAAATACACACGGGAAAGATTTAATTGTTATGAAAAAAATTGATTGTAAATATATTTATTTGCATTCGTTTTTATTTTCTTTGAAACTAGCTATTGAAACTAATGAAAAAATAATCAATGAAATTATTCAACAAATTTATCAATCCTTCGAACAATTACAGCAATCCCTATTGAATTTTGAAAGTACCAACAAAATATCTTCTCCGGAAGTTTGCTTAAATGATCTCAATCAAATCTTTAATCGATTAATAGATTTAAAACTTAATAATTATTCGGATGTTATGAATATGTTTGAGATAATATTGAAAAACTATCTTGATCTAATTGATATGAATCAATTTATTGATATTATTGCTCATCGTTATGCATGTAAAAGTAATATTGTGTTCGCCTCATTTTTTGAGTCATTAAATCCAGAAGGGGCATTAGAGTTAACGCACAAAATGCCAATTAAAGTTCGTCAACAGATGTATTATCGTATACTTGATCAAATATGTTCATCAAAACGAATTCATTCTTTTCTTAATAATGAATTATTAGTTTCCATCGATGATAACCATATTAAACGTATAGTCAGTAATTTTTGTGGATTAATATTAATTTTGGTTTTAAAAATTTTGAATAGTTTAAATGTAAAATTATTAGACATAGAATTGAAGAAATATCAAAATAATCTATTTGTCCCTTTCATAAAATTTATTGATGAATATTTTCTAACAAATCAATGCTTACAACACGATGTTTTAATTAGACATACACTAGAGTTTCTTCAGATGGTAAGTGATCAACCATTAACAATATCGATATTTATCAATGCCACGTGTCCGCAAGCATGTTTACGTTGGTTATCGCTGCCCTATTTGAATGATTATGAATATATTCATTGTCTACAGATTGTCTATAATATTGCTCGTCATGATCAAGGAGTGATTATTCTTAATCAATGTCAATGTTACAGTGTATTAATGCAATTCAATACGGATATATTAAATAATAAGATGGATTTTATAATCGATAAAAACTGGTATGAAGATCTTCAACTAATTTATTTTATGACAATAGTTTTAATTATTGATCCCAACGAACTTGTAGCTGAAAGTACTGATTGGTTTATAACATATCGGTTGTTACCAGTGATTTCCCATAGTATGTTATCACGTACATTTCGACATCGAAAATTTCATATATCAGAATTCATGATTGTTCTAATGAAATTGTGTACCAACGATAATTTCCTTCATTCTATTTCTACGAAAAAGAATTATAAATTATCACAAGATGTGCTTGATTTATTGAATTTTTTATTGCATTGTGTTGAAATCGAAAGAGTTGATTATAACTTTTTATCGTTGGATGTTTTGACAATTACGGCATCAGCAAATATTTTATGGAGTATTTCATTTCACGATCGATATAAGAATAAATTAATTGAAAATATTGAAATTATAAATAGACTCGTAGCATTTGAGTCAAGTGATACTATTGACAAAATACTACCGAATATTTACATACCTCGTCATATGTCGCCATTGAAACGAGCAATGGATGGCATTTTACAAAATTTATATCCTGAGTCAAATATAGATTTAGACATCAGTTCTTCAACGAAATCTAAATCTGTTGGTTCACTAATGATCAGTTATTCTCATGTTGACATTGATTTTTGTCGACAATTATATGATACGCTCAGTACTGTTCCTGAATTATCCATCAGTATTGATTTTAACTCTGGTAAATATTCATGGAAAGACATCGCGCAAACGATTGCGCAATCAGACCTGGTTGTTTTTCTTTTATCACAAAATTTTTTCAACAGTAAATCGTGCCGTCAGGAATTTATCTATGTTACAGATACATTGAAAAAGCCATTTATCCCAGTCTTTATCGATACGGAGTATGAAGTAATAGAATGGCTTAAAATTCGAATAAACGAAGTCAAACATATTCGTTTTGACGAAAATGATTTTCTACATATTTGTAATCAGTTAATATCAATGATCAAAGAAAATATTTCCTTAAACATAGTTGTAACCAAAAATACGTTCGATATCGAACAATGGTTTCATAGCAATAATCTTATGTTGGAATTACAAGAATTTTATCAGTTTCAAACTGGTAATGAACTATTATTGTATGCTGAAGCCATATTAGAAACTTTGTGGACAAAAGAATATGAAAGAATACGAACAAGATTTGAAGAAAAGTTCAAACAAAAACAGCTGTGTCTTTCGCCACATGAGTTCTTAAAATTTATCAATGCATTAAACTCTTTGAAAAGCAAGAATCTAAGTTCAACTGCATGAGAACACTAGTATCTATATTAATACAAGACTTTTTCTTAATTTCTATTGTTGTGTTATGATTTGTTTATTACTTAGTTAACTGATTAGTCTTTGTTACTTCCTAATAAATTTTGGTCAAATCAAAATCGATGAAAACATTACCAGCAGAATATGATCTCAAACTCTCAAATAATAGAAATGCAATGAATCTAAGTACCATATTGTCAGTTTTAGTCTTTAGCATATGGATCAATTAAAAAGAACAAACAATAATTTCGTTTTCGTATAATACTAGGAAACTCAATTGGCAAATTAACGATTGACAGACATGGGGGATATAGCTCAGTGGTAGAGCATTCGACTGCAGATCGAGAGGTCCCTGGTTCAAACCCGGGTGTCCCCTAGTCTAAAATTTCGTTTTTTACATTTTTTCCCTGCACATAAGAAATGACACTGTTCTACATTGAATACAGATGGCAGCAATGTTTTGGCGACAGTTGGATGGAAGGTACCAGAATAACGTTTTTGTTACGCAACACTATCTATGAAACTTGTTACATCTTATGCCCATTGGCATTTGCTACAGTTAGTGAAAATAAGAAAAAGAGAAATCAGGACAGCAAATGTGCTTTTTCTTCCTTATGCTTGTCACTCTGTTAATATATATCGTTGCCAAGGACAATGTTATTATTTTATTGCTATATGTTCTGTTTCGTTCGTTGTGAATGTGAGAAATCCGTTGAAAATACGAAGGAATAAAAAAAAAGAGATTGATGGCAAAAGAAAATAAATTACGTGTTGCTTTTGTTTTGCTTTCTGCCAATAATAATCTGAGAGTCAAATATTCATCATTGCCTTCTTCTGTGATGTTTTCTTTGTATGGGTTTTACCCCATCCATCTGTTTTGGTGTATTACCCTTACCATAGGCGGCGGAACGTTTTGAATTTAGGGGAGGCTCAATTTTTTTTCAACAAACGATAAAAAGTCGACATTTGGAGAGAAGATAGACTTTTAAAATTCGTTGTCACAGCTTTGATTGAAAATTTTTTCTGTATTGATCCATTTATATTGCTGCAGAACAATCGAAAATTGCTTTCCTAGTCAAGNTTCAAAGTTGAGGAATTTGAGGCGCTTTGGCGTATTACCCCTAGGGTATCCACTTTCAATTAACTATATCTTTCAAAGTTGAGGAATTTGAGTTGTTTTGGTGTATTACCCTAAAGCGTAACAACTTGGATATCCTCGAAGAAATACACAAAAACAACTGGAATTTGCATAAGATGCTCAATTCGAATTTGAATATAATTGATTCATGTACTGCACAGTAACACTTCGGAAAAACTTAAGGCACAGATATTGCTACAGGAAAATACAAATAATATCATTTTATCTGAATTTTTTTTTAAATAATTTGAATTTAAACATGCATATTACTAAGGCTGAAATGTATGGCATAAATTATGATTCCTAGGAGCATTCCCTGGATTCCTGACAATGCGTAACATTGGTAGATGAAAGGCTGTCGCTGCTAGAAGCAAGTCGGACACTACTGCATGAATATCTTAGGCTTCGAAAAGAGTGCGTGAAATTGCTGAAACCATGTATCAGATTGCTAAGATTATTCCTCGGCTTCCGACACCCTTGCCTCGCGTTGCTGTCAGTAGGAATGGAGTCCTTCGTGACACACCACAGGTACCGGAATACATATCTGAGCTGCTAGATACTTCATACAGGTTACTGCAACTGTGCCTCGTCTTGTTACAGGTATCCAAACCAACTTTCACACAAATTAACCTATACATCTCGGAGCACTCAATTTCTTACAGCAAACACAGGAATGCATCTAGCAACATTAGGTATGCTTCTAGCAACCTCAGGATTACTGCTAGCAACCTTAGGTGTGCTTCTAGCAATCTCAAGAATTGTTTTAACAAGCGCAGGTATCCTTGTAGCAGACTCAAAGTCATCAATGGATTCTTCGAAAATCTCGTTCTTATTTTATGTGGAATTAGGCAGCTACTCATTCCAAGATCTTGTATGTGCTTCATAAGATCTTTTGCCAGATTTTTCGACCTGGGAAGCTTTTTGTCGCCAATTCCTAAGCGAAAATTGTTTTCTCAACTGATTTTAACTTGAGAAAATTTTTATTATTTTACTTCTTCACATGTGTTACAATCGGCTGAAACTTGTGTCTATTAGTAGCACGTATGGAGTTTAGTTAGTAATTTTTAATAAATTTGAATGATCAAATCGTGATCAATTATCAATTATACGCCAATGGAATCAGTGACAATATACAGGTGAATTTAACGTTTTGAAACTAGATACATTTGTTCACAATACTTGTTAAAAACTAAACAAGATGTTTCTATTGTGTATGGAATACATACACGTACACGAAGAGCTTTCTTTTCTATTTGATTACTTTATTAATATTAGGTTTCTCGAATAATATTGTAAATGTAAGAGTGATGATCTCTTCATGGAATTTTCTTAATCAGAAATAATCGTACCAATGATATGTATTGTCAGTTAGCCATTAAGCAGCAGATTCATCGTTCTGATTACTTGAAACACCTCTGGGATATGGGTGTAGGTGTGAGTGTAGGAATAAATAGTCAAACCCGCACCCACATCCATCAGTTGTAGATGTCTGTTTACAAACTGCCATAGATTCATCCAACACGAACAATGATATCTATAAACAATAAACCTGATACTAACAAGACACTCAGTGAAACAGAACATTGACCTTTAGTCAATGATCTGTACAGCTACCATAGAAATAATCAGTATATTAAATCATTTTATCATTTTCAATCAGCTTCTAGCTATGAGTGATTGAGTTCTAATATAAGTTTCCAAAGTACATGGACAATCAGAAGTAATTCTACAAACAATAATTTATTATCCTATAGGAAAATTAAAAGATCTATTCTGAATAACAGTTCTTTAATAATTACATATATAATTATTGACGGTTGTAGATGTGCCCCTCGACAACTAACGACAACTACATATATCCTGTAGTGCGCCACAAATAACACTGTTAAATTCAGGACAGGTAACTAGGTTGAGATACTTGTCTTGCTCATTTTTAATTCACTCTATAATATCAATCCTTCTAGGAAAATTCTTACACCAATACATCGTTGTACTATATTGGTTTATTACATGTATTTTTTGTTTATGATTTTTGAAGTTCGGCGTCATGCTGACTGGGTTTTTTCTTTCGTAATTTTGAAATAACCAGATTGCGTAAGAGTCTACATGTATATAATGAATTACAAATAGATGCAAGCTTTCACTTATTCTTTGAATGCATTGTTTCCAAGTGCAAATTCTATGTTCTTAATGTCGATTCTAGATATTTTTCATGTATTATTATTTTACTTCGATTCATTTATGAGCGACAGTCGAATCAAATCACAAACAAACGGAAGCAATAGCAAGTCATCAAACGAGTAAGACAGAAAAACTCAAAAATAAACTATGATACTTCTGACTATGTATTGTATATGAGATGGTAGCCTTTTTTCGTTGCTAATAAAATTTTGTACAAAATTCTTATTTGAAGGAGGTCGGTTTCAGTTCGAGTCTACTCTTGTATATTGCCCATACGCACATTCGCTTTCTCTTCATGTGGTGCTTCTTTGAGACAGCAAATTGAATTTGAAAAAAATGTCACGCAAAATGAATACTTATGGTTCACTTGTATTTTAGAGGCCATGACAGCCAGATCCCAAAAACGGGAGAGCACTCGGTGGATTCTAGTACGTATATTTTTTTAAATTGAGTTGAAAACATTTACTGATGAATATTCTCTCGTTTCAGATGGAACTATCGAGAGCAACTGGACTGAGCTGGTTAAGGAGTTCGATCAGATGAACTTGCGCGAACAACTTCTACGTGGTGTTTACAATTATGGTTTTGAAAGACCATCTGCTATTCAGCAAACAGCAATTAAACCATGTATTTTGGGTAGATAAAAAGCATGGAGAAGTGATGAAATGTATTTTTACAATGATATTTTTTAGGACATGATGTTATTGCTCAGGCACAATCAGGCACAGGCAAGACGGCCACATTTTCTATTTCGGTCTTGCAACGGATTGATCTTCAATCTAAAGAGTGTCAAGCACTTATTTTAGCACCTACCCGAGAATTAGCTCAACAGGTATAACTATAGGATATTTATATTTTCATAAACGAAAAACGATTTTATTCGATGTGTGTGTAGATCCAAAAGGTGGTGCTAGCAATTGGAGACTATATGGGTGTTACATGCCTCGCTTGTATAGGTGGTGGCAGTGTTCAAGAAGATATCAGACGACTTCAATCCGGCGTAAACATTGTTGTCGGCACACCCGGTCGTGTCTATGATATGCTCGATCGATCGGCTCTCCGTAAGTTGTCAAAAGATATCATTACTTTTAATAATTTTTACGATCGTGAATTTCTGTAGGGAGTAAACATATAAAAATGCTTGTCTTGGATGAAGCTGATGAAATGCTTAGAGAAGGTTTTAAAGATCAGATCTATAATATTTTTATGAAGATGCCGTCAAATATACAGGTATAAATTGAAGCTTTTTCGTTCTCTTCACATTACTTGCTTTTTTGCTAGACTGTTATTCTGTCGGCTACAATGCCCAAGGAAGTTCTCGATGTAACAACTAAATTCATGACTGATCCAATTAAAATTCTAGTCAAAAAGGACGAATTGACTCTGGAAGGTATTCATCAATTTTATGTCGACGTTCAATTGGAAGTAAGTTTTAATGGACGATGAGTTGAGAGTTTGATTCGATGAAGTCGTTATATACGTGTTAATCTTATTTAGGATCATAAATTTGAGACGCTCTGTGATCTATACTCAACGATATGTGTTGCTAAATCTATCATCTTTTGCAATACTCGCCGAAAAGTCGAATATGTGGCACAACAAATGACCGCACGAGACTTTACTGTTTCGGCGATGGTAAGTTTTTGAGATTCTTACATTTTAGCACATACTTTTATCGACAAATTTGACAACACTCATTCGCGTTTTGCTACTGCGAATGTGCTGGATATGAACATAAAATAAATATTCAGCCAATGAAAGAGACTCGATATTTTTTCGATAAATCTGATAAAAACAGAGATATTTTTAGGATCAAGAAAAGTTTTACTCATGGTTGATTTTTTTTTCCGATTTAGTACGGTAACATGGATCAAGCAGAGCGGAATACGATCATGAGTGCATTTCGTTCCGGCTCGAGTCGAGTGCTGATTGCCACCGATTTAATGGCACGTGGCATTGACGTTCAACAAGTCAATCTCGTTGTTAACTACGATTTACCGACCAATCGTGAAAATTATATTCATCGGTATGCTAGCTGTGAAACAATTACGAGGAAACAAAGAAAATAAGCATCGATTTTTCTATGTTTTTAGTATCGGTCGTAGTGGACGATTCGGTCGAAAAGGTGCGGCAATCAATTTTGTCACTAATGATGACCGAAGTATAATGCGCAGCATCGAACAATTCTATAACACGAGAATACAAGAGATGCCAGCGAATATAGCCGATCTGTTATAAACAGATGCCGTTCCTGAGCATTCTCATCATTTTTATTAGTACTGACTAATTTATGTACTCCACCCTAGAAAAATTTACTTATCAAATTATTTCTGATGATTTTCACTAATATGTGTTTTTTTTGTGATTTCTTCTCTTTCTTTAAATAATTATATACATTGATTCAATAAAAATTCTTTTCTCACCTCTTTGACATTAAAATCTTATCAAACTCAACTAAATAAGTAATTTTCTTGAGTGTGTGAATGTGACTAAGAAGAAAGTCGATACATTTACATCCTCAAGATGTATAGAAAAAAGATACAATGCAAGGCAGATAACGCTACCTAACAATTTAAATTTAATCGGTCTAATATTTTACGGGAAGATTTTTCGCTCAACTCTCTGCAAAGCTGTATGAAAAAAAAAACGATACGTTGAGACATTCTTTTCAGGATATTTTTGTCGTTTTCGGTGTTCTTTTTTCTATTTTTTTCTTTTGTAAAATCAATGCTATTTTGTCGAAAAGAGTGAAACAACGAACTCGTGCATTTCTGGGACGTCGCGTTAGAATGACATAAAAGTGTGCTTATTGATTTAGCGGAATATAGAATTGTGCGAAGGCTGAGGAGCCTCTACCATCGACATCAGTAAGCACACATTTTCAATAATTTTTTTGTCGTCGTCAAACAACAAAACATCAAATGGCATCTGCAGGTAAGCCGTCGCATCTTGTTATTCGAGAACCGAAACAACGATGCGTTGAAAATCTTATTCTTGTGTGGTATGATCCAAGTGTAAATAGTGATGAGGATGAAAGACGAGCTCGCAAAACTATCAGTGAGTTCCAGCACATCATCAGTTGGAATCTATTACTCAATGATCACAAAACATGCGTCGAATTTCTCACTCGAGTCATTAAAGATCAAAGAGCTTTCTTTGTCATTTCATCTTCAACCTCGCCCAGTGATGCTCACAACATGATTTGTTCAATTCATCATCTTGTTTCAATTGATTCTATCTATGTTATGGGTGCGACGATGATACATGAAGATTTTCCACGAAAGGCGAAGAGCGGTTTCCTTCACACAAGTGTTCTGAGTGAACAGCTTCAAAAGGATGTCAAACAATGTGAACAAGATCTTGTTCGAGTAAATAAGCAAGGTGGATCCTCTTTCATGTATTCTCAATTACTGAAAGAGATTCTTGTTGAAAATATCGATAAATCCACATTATTTGTAATGATATATGCTCACTTTTGTCGTTTAAACTATGACGGGAATGCCCAAGAATTGCGTATGATCGACGAATTTGAAAAAACTTATGGGAAAGCACAGCACTACTCGCCTATTTGGTGGTATACTCGACGGTGTTTTGTCTCACGCACACTCACTCGTGCCATTACTCGTTTGGATGTGGAAATTTTATCTGTCATTCACTTTTTTATTCGAGATCTTCACAATCAACTCGTCAAAATTCACGCTGAAAATTCAAAGTATGAGAAACCATTTATTGTTTATCGCGGGCAAGGAATGCAGCAAGACGACTTCGAGCGTATCTTGAACAAGAAAGACACTTGTGTTGCCTTTAATAACTTTTTGTTTACGACCACGGAACGACAAGCTGCACTCGATTCGGCTCAAAATACACTTGACAGAAATCTGACAGCCGTTCTGTTTGAAATGCATATTGATCCATCATTAAATAATATCAGTCCATTTGCACGAATAGGACAGTTAAGCTGTGCAAAGAAGAACAAAAATCAAATTCTCTTCTCTATGCACGCTACTTTTCACCTCGAAACTATTGAACAATCTGACAGTAGTGTATGGAATGTCAAATTGAAATTGTGTAACACTCCAAATGATCCACTCATCGATCGTATGCGGGAAAGAACGAAAGGAAAGAATGTTCTATTTCGAATGGGTGCACTGTTCATCGAAATGGGTGAGTTTGACAAAGCTCGAGAAATTTATTCGTCGATGCTTGTTGGAGGAGTTTCGAAAGATGATTTTCATACTCAAGCTCATCTTCAAAATCGATTGGCCTTCATTTTTGAACAGATAGATAGAACAGACTTCTCACAGTATCATTACAATGAATATCTCAATTTGATAAAGAAGCATGCGCTAAAAAATGAGTTTGAATGCGCAAATTTACAAGAGGTAGATTGTTCTGAGATTGTTAAAGTGGCGGCCTCGCCCGTGTATTCATCGCAAAAACAAGATGGGTGGTTATCCGATAGTGACTCGAGAAAATTCTCTCAAGTTGGCCTGATAGTTGGTGAAGCAAGATCCACGATGCAAAAAGAAAAATGTCACGCAACATCAACATTACCAACAAACAGTTTGGCAGAAGGAATGGTTGGTTTTGCTTCTATTTCAGAAGAAATAAGGCTGCTAGAGTGGGGGCAAAATAATCAAAAGAGTAGTATATTAAATGAGCCGATATCTGAGAAAAAGCCAGAAGAAACAAATAAATGCAAGAAAAACAAAAAACATAAGAAAAAGAAGCAGATTTCTTTGATTACAAAAGGATTTGAAGATGTCACTGATACATTAGACAACGAGAGTCCACAATCTCACCAGCCGGCTTTTCCATCAGCAAATGAAAATGAAGAAAAATTAGAAAAGGAATTTTGGAGTTCTGAATTCGGTCACACGAATCAAACTCAACAACAGGCTTTACATTTCTTGAAGCAATCGTCACGACGCGATCATCATCGAAGACTTGATTTAACTCAACAACTGAAAAGAAAACCGCGTATAGTCGTACAAGTTGGTGGTAATGGTTGTGGTCGGCTTGCTGCATCAAAAAATTCTGTTTTGTTTTCGCCGTCTAATACAACCGTACTGCTATCGCCATCTCCGTCGCACGAGCTCTATTACATTAATAGACACGGAAACAAATTACAAATAGAGTTGAACAATGAAAAAAGAATTGGAATTCAAGCTGTTTGTTGGTCATCTTATTTGGAAAAATTTATTGTACTAACGGCAGATAAGATTAAAAGAGTTTACACATTTGACGAGAAAAAGGTAACAACTAATAACAGCCAACACATGGAAGATATTCCAGATTCAATAGATCGAGAGTACGAAAGTTGTACGTGCTCGGATCAAATATTTCTGGTCACTTACAAAGGATTCAATCCGATTATTGATCAATGGCAGTTGTCAAATTGGAAGCGCACAAAATTATGGCAGCCGCCCATATCGTGCGGAAATTTAGAAATGATTCAACATATACGATTTTCGCAAAATAATAGCTTACACATTGGATTGATAATCAATGAGTTTGAAACATATCGATTTGAGTTACGGAATTATTTGACTATGGAGTGCCTACAAACTGTCGCTTTTAATGAGAGTAATCAGATAAATACACCAGTACCAATTTCTTTATCGACTGGTGAATGGCTTTTTACAGCTACTATGATAACCTTTATTTCAAAAAATATAATAGCAAGATTACCTATCGAATATGGCAATGATGTTGAGAACGCGGTACAATTCAACCAAGATTGTCTTGTACTAAAAACGACAGATGGAAATTTAAGGTTTTACAATTATCATGATTAATTCACTTTTCTACTGATTTAAAACTGTATATTATAAGAACACGTAGCAGTGATCATTTTACCTGTATTTTATAGGCACCAAGCATTCAAATACATCCTATAATTGTATCTCGCGATTTCTTTTAAAGTTTGTCTAGTGCCTTCTTCTTGTCGCGTAGATAAAACAGACAAAAAGTAATCTGGAAAAAAAACGTGGTCTACGTCTAAAAACAAACATCGCGCAAATCTTCAAATTGTTCCTTCTCTTTGCGATTAGGGATGAAAAACTTATTCTCTCGGACCACCTATGAGTTTTTGAAAAAAATTCCGAACGAATCTGGGGAGATATCTCTCCCTGGTTTTGTTGCTTAGACACTTACTATCAGATTTAACTTGTTTGGAACTACAATCATATTCTAGTTTTATCTGCAAATCTCGAATTTGAATTAAACCGCTATTTTCAGCACACGAAAACATGTAGATGCAAAGGAAAACACTCCAATGGACATTTTGCCAGATGCGCATCTCCTTTTTTTTATTGATATTGTAACAATTGCTAATAAAATCACCAGCAGTATTGTGAAAAATTTCAATATACCAACCAAGAGAATGCCTCTGCAAGAAGTACGAGAAATATAATAGGTTCCGTGATCTTCGACCCATAAGACAGAATCCTGCTGAGAATTCAAAATTAATTAGCCTCTTCCATTATTTTGAACTGTTCTTACTAGCGCATGCATGTAAAACTTGAAACTTGAATTTAACTGAATTTTCCAGTTACAAGTTTGACACTACTACTTGCTCGAATAGAATCCAATGGCAGTTCAGTCATCGTTTTCGAATTCTCACGAGAAAACCATCTTAAATGGTACTATGTGTTTGATATGAGATACCCCTCATGAGAACATTTCTGATGAGACTAAAAAAATATTAGAAAATATTATTCTAATCAGCTGTCGTCTCAAGTTATGACCTGTTCACTGAATTTTCAATCTTTGACGTGGTACTTATTAAAAAATTTAGCAAGCTATTTTTTTCCATAAACAGCTCTTGAGGCTAGTAAAATATCCTTCTATCACCAGCAACTACTTCACACTCGCACTCACACTCGTCATTCAGAGGGTTTGATTCTTGAGACGAATGTGAGTATCCGGTTTTGTCCAAGAATATATTCACATCACGACACCTAAAATCATATATTGATTCAATTTTTCTAGCTAATTTTATTTTTTTCGAAAATTCGTTTTTTGAAATCATTTTAATTACTACACACAAGTATTAAAGACGTTGCTTAATTGACTTGATTTTTATAAATAACTCGATCGTTGATTGGTTGTACTGGTCGATAGACTTTTCGCATTATGTTTGTGCGGAGTAAATTCAAGTCCTGTTCTAATATTGGAATATTGTCCATAAATATTGTCCAGATAACACCTTCGGTGCATGGCGGTGTTGTCAGGCTACCGATGTAACGGAAAAATTGCTTGTCCTCGATATTCAACAATTGACTCATATTGATCGTACAATCGACGGTATCTCCAATATTTATCAATGTACTTGCAGCTGTTGAATATACTTTCCATTGAGCATTTTCCTCGTCAGGTGAATTCGTGATGTCAAACAAGAATCCTAAGACAGCAGTCTCTACAGTTTTATTATTCTTATGAACTACATGTGCTTCAGCTGGAAACATGTTCCCATCGATTTCATGTTCGGATCCATGTCTATCGCCCCGACCCCAATGCAAATGAAAATTAACGAAATGAAATGTATCCATCAAGCCACCGCCTGTTATCCACAAATCAGGTTGAGTCTTACTTTCAGCATCTTTTTTCAAAGTCGCAGCTACTTGATGACCATTGTTTGTTAGTGTCAACAATGTTAGTCCCATGTAATCAGGAGAAAAGACGAATGGTGGATACTGTTGAGGAACAGTTTCACTCGAAACTACATTGATTGGGGATTGACATGAGCCACCTGCAGCTGGAAAATGATCAGGCCATGTAGAAGGATTGTCATAACTCCAATGTTCATCAGATTCGTCGGCACAAGACATGATGATAACGAAGCTAAATTTATTTTCGTATGTTTTGTATAAAGTAGTGCAATATGAAGTGTTTTTTTTTTAGAGAAACAGAAAATTGATCTGTCATTCATTTTTTCTCTATTACGCAGCCGATTTCACTCTCTCAAAGTTATACCTTTTTATTCTTTGCAGCAATACACATTCTTAATTGTGTAAGTACAAGGTAATTAAGAAAATCTTGATGAAGTGGTTTGTTTTTTCTCTCTCCTCATTACAGTGAGCATGAGTTAATTAAGTATCACAAAGAACTACGCCCTATTGAGGCGTAGCCATTGACAAGTAAAAGGTAATTAGAAAATATTAATGAAGCAGTTTTTTTCTTTCACTCCTCATTACAGTGAACATGAGTTAATTACGTATCATGAAGAACTACGTCCCATTGAGGCGTACTCGTTTACTAGTAGAAGGTAATCAATCAATTGGTGCAATATGTTTTACTCTTCTCTGATGTGATTCAAAGCGATCTTATAAATTGATAAACTATCAGAAGAAACAACAGACACGTGTGAATTTATTAACAATCATTATAAAGCAGCATTGCCGATGGTGTGGATGTGAATATGAATTGAGGCATTCTACGTCTTGTGCTTCTTGCTGTCAGCATTTGAATTTCAGCTACCCCCTCCCCATATTAGAAGACCCCCCTTTAATTAATTAATTCTTTTGCTAATTACGAACTTTAATTAGCGTTTTTCTATCAAACCATGCCTGACTCTTAGCATTTTAAGCTAGAAATATTAAAAGAATGTGTTCACAATTATAATGTCATCCTTAAAACCCTTCAAATCCTGATGGAAATCCTGAAAATCACCTTGGTTTTCTGGAAAACCTTTTAAATTAAATATCAGGAAAAAAATGCGATTCTTAATACAAGACCCTTCTGGAAAATTTTTACGCTGGAACATAATAGAAGACCCGGGGTCTTTTATTGTGGGGGGTGGGGGGTGACAGCATAACGTCACTTGTATTATGTGCTGATACTAATTATGCTTGTACATATATTTTCTCAATATAATTTCTTGATTCTTATTGTCTAGCTACTACCCGCGCTTTTACTTTTACTGTATCTTCCTTGTTCATTAGCTTGTTACTTTTCTTCTCTGTTAGTTGGTTCTATTATAATCAACTCCTTTTTATTCTTTTTATTCTACGTGACTCTAAAACGTCTTCTGAAAGCCTTGTCAAATCGTACAACTTATCCTTGTTGTATCTACTGTTCCATTGATTAATTCTAATCTATTAAATAAATTAGTAAATTCTCATTCAAGTTTCATTTTCTTATTTGCTTCATCTTGTCATTTGCCGTCATTATCATTGTGGCATTTGTCAATACTTAAGCAGTCGCGTCTTCACCTAAATCTTAATCGTTAAAATAACGACGTGACTGGGGGTTACTACATGTGCGCACCCACGCCCAAAATTGAAAATCATTTTTTTCATAGACATTCTCTTGATACATTTATATGATACAGAAAGCGCAAAGCATGCCTCTGTTATATGTTTGACTTCTACAATAAAAACCGTGACTTCTTCAATGTTTTTAAGCGATTATCTAGAGAATATTTGATTTCATTCTGATCAATTTATATGAATAAAATTCAGACTCGTTTTTATCTATATTTCAGTGTCTTTTGGGGGTCCACCTTCCATTAATTTTTTAAAGAATTCTGCCGCAATTTTCGCTGCATTTCCTGTTGAAATAAGCAAACCAAGATTGCTAGATGATTCGTCAGCAGCCTTAGCCGCACGAAGAAATGTCTTTTGTTCGTAATTGTGAATTGCTTGTTTTAAATCGTCTGCATTGGTAATGGCAATAGCCAACTCTGTAGCATCGAGCATAGCTAAATTAATACCTTCACCGGCAAAAGGAGACATGAGATGAGCAGCATCGCCTAGTAATGTTACACCTTGATGTGTTTCCCATCTATGATTTATAGGTAGCGTATATAGAGGGCGTGGAATAAAATTAGCATCACAAAAATGAATAAAGTTGAGCAGACTATTATCCCAATCAGCAAATAACTGAAAAAGATCCTTACGAGCTTGTTCTGGTTGATCGAAAGCAATGCCTGACTCGACGATTCAATTTTCCGGTACATGTAGGGTGATGTAGACACGAATTTGATTCTGTCCATTCCGTTGACCAATAAGACCATTGTTATCGGATAAAGCAAATATCGTACCACGACCAACCAATTTGGCAATCTCAGGATGCCGATCGTCAACATCGGTGAATTGTATTTCCACTATCGTCACGCCGCAATACTGTGGTATTGCAGTAGATACAACAGAACGGATGCATGACCTGAAAGAAATCATCACCATCTACGCCAATAGTTATTGTAATTCTTAGCAAAACTCACCGTGCACCATCAGCTCCAATGACCAAATCAGCAACACCCGTTACTCCATTATCAAACACAAGTGTATGTTGACCATTGTTCATTAAGTGGACGCTTTTTAAATTGTATCCTTGAGCAATGGTATCTGGTTTCAGTGATTCGAGAAGTAGTTGTCGTAAATCACGTCGATTAATTTCTGGGCGATCAAAATTAAGTTCATGGGATATTTCTTCATAATGAATTGTGTCAGACTTGTCGACGATGCGTACATCTTGTCCCTCAGGGCGACAAAGTACTTGAAACTTTTCAAATAAGTCTCCTATTTGAAGAGCATATTGTCCTGATTCCACATGTAGATCCAAAGTTCCTCCTTGCGATCGAGCATCGATAAAACTTTCTCGTTCGTATACTTTGACGTCAATACCGTGCAATTGTAGAATACGTGCTAATGTAAGTCCACCTGGTCCTGCTCCAACAATGGCAATACGTCCTAATTCATTTTTTGACATGCTTGAATTTGATAAATCCTCTAATCGATGAATCTCTTTAAATATAAATGAATAATTGTTCTAATTAATTAGAGCCCCTTTTTCTTCGAATTTTCTTTCAAAGTTGAGTCAACCTCTGAATAGCTCCTTTCTTATGTATAAGATACAAAGAATGCTTTCTTAGAATTACTGGTCTTCCCAAACGTGTTTTGTTCAGTAAAATAGTATATGTAATCATGACCGTCCGTCATTGAGTTAGGTAATCTATTTTTCTTTCATAAAGACTGTTATAACTACTGTTCAACTACTCATTCAACAATTATTAAACACCTGTAAAGACTAATATAGTACGTCAGTATGTTGATTTGGTGAGGTCGATAATACGAATGCACATATCTTGATTATCTTTCAATTATGTGTTTAATTCTGTCAATTTAATCGATATTTCATGAATTATGAATAATAGAAATGACAATTAAAGTTACGGTAAATCTCTCATAGCGTTCAATAATGATTGAAATAGCATGCTATTTTCATGAAATAGGAGCCTAGGTTTTCTAATGATTCAAAAAAATTGTTATCATACTTACCTTTACCAGTCTAAACATGTGTTTATATGGTTGTTATCCAGAGAAAATGTGACACATGCAAATTCTTTTCTTCTTTTATTTTTCTTATCGTGTTACAAGGTTATACGAAATGCATAAAAAAACATGCTATGCCATGTCATTTTTGTTAATGGTATTGACTCATGTCGCCTATGAACTTTCCGTCTTTTTAGTACGGTTGCGAACAATTGTGAGTGCGTGTGTATTGTTGGTGTGAACATAGCTTCTTTTCTTGTACCCACACCCGTTCTTTATCTTATTCGTTTTCATGTTTTTTTTGTTATTGTGTTTACGGTATTTCTCAAGATCACTGTATACCGGGAAATAGTATATAACGAACGAGAGAAATACTGAAAAGATACTGTTTTTGGTGTTTAAATAAAGCATATCTTCAACATCAGTCAAAACGCATTTATAACATCAGAAATCGTTAGTATTTGTTCCATAAATGTATGTAACAAAAACTATCTAAAAATGGTTGTAAGGGCACATCCACATGGCATTTTAAACTATTATAATTGACTTCTTTTTCAATAATGGGTATACTGCGAGCAAGTAGAAATTCTACTGCATTTTGTATCAGAGGTCTACGGGGCAGGGAATTTTTGTACCCCACGAGTTTTCAACACCCGCCCACCCGACCCCCGCGCATTTAAATTGCGTAAGCTCCCCCGCCCCGTCCGCGCCCATGCACCCAGAGGCGCTGCACTGGGCCGTCGATTTTGTGCCGGGGCCTGCCTCGCCCGTATAGCCCGAAGAAATTTTATATTTAACAAATTGTTTATTTTAAATTATTTATTGTATATAATTAATTAGATTTTTTAACGAAAAAATCTGAGAAAAAAGGGGGGGGGGGGTGGGACGGGGATGCGCTGGTGTCCATTTGCTCCATGGCACTAATGACACCCACATTCACAATAATGTAGATTTATGTTATTTTCTTAACGTGAGTTCAGTTCTTCATTAACATAAGAACACAATCAGAACGAATAGAGAGAAAGACAAAGACGAAAGACAAGACTACTGACAGCAGAAATATATATATATAAATATAGGATAGTATCACGTATTATCAAATACACAATAGAAAATATTACTGCGTAATAGAAATATTACTGCGCAATACGACGAATAGATTAAGGTCGCTATCCACACAATTTGACCCTGAGAGAGAGATAGAAACGAATGTAGAGTAGATAGAATAAAGGAAACGAAAGAAAGAACGAAACACACAAAAAACAAAGAAAGGAAAAACAACTCACACGCATACATATAATGCTAAGGAAAAGCACACAATCGACAGATAAATTATTCTTTTGTCTCTTTCGACAGCTTTGATGTAAACAAATTACTGTTATTATTGCGCGAAGATATTCTAAACTTATCTAATCTCTTGTAGGATTGAAAAAGGTGGTAGTTAGGTGAATTTATATTTTAGATAATGTGGTAAAACAGAAATATGAGAGAATTGATCTGGTAGTATTTGAAAATCATATTTTGCTCCAACAAATATATTCATATGCCGTCACAGTGTGATGACGCCCTCTATTTTTCACTTGTCCGTTTTTCAGGAAAATCCAAAAACATAGTTCAATACAGAATAATTTTCTCTATCTACTGATATCAATGTTATATCTAGCCCCGTTCAAAAACTTGCAGCACAATCAAGTAACACTTGTTATTCTTTAACTTTTTTTTCACTGATTTGTCGACTCAGAGCCTTTACCAAACGAAAAGGAAAAAAGAAATACGTAACAGGCAAGCTTGTAGATCATAAAATGAAAATAAAGAGTCAATCAATACGTATTTCGTACTACACACCTAGACTAACGACCTCTCAATAATTTTTTACGATCCTTCGTCGTGCCTCGTGAAAAATCTTGACCCGCCCGAACCTGTGTAAATTTAAACTCGCCCCGCTCGGCCGTCAGTGAACCGCTACGCGCAACTCGTCAATCCCACAGTTTTGTAAAATTCGCTACCCACCCCACCGACCCTGCGGGGTCCAACCTGTGGATCGCACACCTCTGTTTTGTATTATATAAAGCATACATTGAAACCAGATTACAATAAGTACATTAGAAAAACAATAAGATTTTAACAGTTAATCGAATCGTTTTAACTAATAAAATATACTCATGGCATATTATTTAAAAAGAGTCAGCCGATGTCATTGGCGTATTTTCTTGTTACATTGTGAATCTAACATAGAGTTTTTTTTATTCGTTACCTAAACAGCAGACAATTTTGATACCGTCTCGAACGTAACAGTGTAATGTAGTGATCAACAATATCTGATAAAACTCAGCAAGCTGTACATAAATAAATAATTCTATCAATATATTCAAATGTATCATCAGTCGACATCTGATCTATAATTGCTTGTACATGTTAGTTATGCATTCAAATAGTAGCACATCTATAATATAAATCTCAATTATATTGAAAACCAGATGTGTAATTCAACAGTTTTTTATGAGTTTGGTCTGAAAAATACATATTTATACGAGAGCCTATTTAATTGTCATACAGGCATTCTAGTATGTATTCATATATTCGTTGAATATTTTTTATTTGGTTGATTGATTTTCTGTTCTTTACAAAAGAAAAACAAAAAATATTTTTGAAACTTATGATCAATCACCATTTCTTCATTTGTCTTGATCTATTGCTGCATTCGAAGCGATGTGGGATAGTTGTGAAATGTAAGAAGTTAATTGTTGTGCAACACGAAAAACTTCAGGATCTTCTGTCACATCTTTGATTTTAAAGGAAAACTCAAATTTCACCTTTGTTCCTCTTTCAAAGTAGATAATTTCTGCTCCTGTTTTATGACCTGCTAAATTAACATTAAATTCAGCTGTTTGCATAATAGTTTTGTCCTCCGGAACAGTTACGATAATGATTGGTTTACCAGAGCGAGTCAGTTTACCAGCATCAACAAAAATTGCTGACACATTTACTGCGGTTGTTTGATCAAATTCTAGTGGCATATCTGCTTTAAAACTTATACCATTTTTAGATGTAAGCTGACCATTTTCACTGTGTATATCGAGTTCGAATTTAGTTGTTGTACTATCAGCGAAGGCTGTTGAAGCCTGAATATAGAACCAAAAAAAGGAAATTTCGAATTTTGTGACTTGCTTTTCAAAAAATGAAATCCAAAAGAAGATATTTACCGTTAGTTGTATGCATATACGTTCTGGGTCTTCAGCAGAAAATTTCATTACAATATCAGCTGGCTTAGTTGGTTTGTTTCGTCGTGATTTAAATACTGGTTTCAAATAAAAATCACTTAAATCTCGACTGTCATCAATCGTATATCGAGCAAGAGAAACATTTTTGAATGCCAATGATGATTTTGATACTTTAAAGTTCATAATATTGTTTTTTTCAATTTTCGCCAATTCATTAACCACTTGCATGACACCATTTTCAAAAGAATTCATCAAAATATCTGGTCGAAGAACGACTTGATACTCTTGTGATGAATATTCGCAATTCAGTGACATGCTATTGGAAGCATGCTGAATCAAAATCCAAAGCAATGGAATAAATAGTAACATACTTGTATAACAATGCAATGCAAATGCACATAATTAGCTACACGGACCGAGTATAAGTACTCATTCATTAGCTTTGAGAGGAATGAATATTAGTCAAAAGACAGGTGTTGATAATTGATATTCTATTTACGTCAATGGTCTACAAAATCTATGATGAATGAAATCAAATTAGAGTCAAATTTCAATATGATTTGAATTAGAGTATAGATGGGCCAAATCACTCGTTAGCAGCATGATTTCATACAATGCAAATATTTATATCTCGAAACAGTGAAGTTTTCTACGCGTGATTTAGATAAATATCATCAATATTTAGACTATTTTAAGAATGGATACCGAGGAAGTACCCAAGTGAGCAAAAGACTGGTTAAATGACTAGTCTTTTTTCTAGTCAAGTCGACCCGTCCCGTCTAGTCTTTGTCTCAAAAACTGCTCGTCCACGACTAGTCTGAGTTTTTATCCGTCATGCATACGCGTCCTAGTACTCTGATTGACGACTAGTCATAAAATCTAATAAGAGTAGTCGCGACGAGTGTCCCTGTCGCCCGTCAGGAAATGGTTTATGAATGAAAAATTGAGGGAGTCTGGGACGAGTATACAACCAGCTGGAGCCTTAAATAGTGGACGGTCTGGACTAGTCTGAATGGAAATATGTAAGGATGAAGATTAGATTCGAACATGTATACAATGTGACACTTACCCGTCGCCGGAACCATTGAGCCATATGATCTTGAAGTCATATTCTACACACTCATGATCATTCTAAGATGTTATTTAATACAATTTTTACTCCGAATTTTTTATTTTATGTATCAATAAAAATTATCTTTTACCGAAACGTGATTACTTTAGATAACATTGAATAAAAATAAATTAAGAAGATTTTATAATTTTTTCGAGAAATTTATTTTGATTTATAAGCAAGTGCGATTAATTATTTGGGTTTTAAAAACATTAATTTGAGTATAAAAATAAAAATAATTTATACCGGGAAGAAGCTAATTTTTTTCATATTATTTTTTAGGTTAGTTTTAAATTAAAATCACCGTATATTCATCTAATAATAAAAATTATTTTTGGTTTATTTTAAATTATTAGAATTGATATTTAAAATATACTAACATAATAGTATTATATGAAAAGATTTAGATGCTTCTCAATTTTTTTAAATTTAGTACATCTCTTATTTTGAAAAAAAATATATAAATTAGCACTCCCAGATACGAGATGAATTTTGTTGTTAGTACTAACCCCTACTATTTTATGTTTTGATACACTCTTAAACTTTTAGCATATGCTAATGCAAAATAAAATAGAATATATCAAGACAGGGATGCATGCAATATATTAAATCTTTTCGAATGCACTATTGATGACAGCAGACTCTCTAATTGTACTTCTAGGTAGAAAAAAATTCGACAAGCATTGAGTAAAATAAACACTTCTAAAAAACGGACTAGTCATGAGGTGTCCAAAAGATGCTTCAGACTGGTCAATACCGTGTACGTCGGTTTGTTTCTCATTTTCTATGCATGGATGCGAGTCAATATATAAGTTTAGACTATATATACTTACGGCAGTCTATTTCAGTATCCTAGTCTCCCGTCAGGATGCCCGTCATATCTCAAACACTGTCGCGCTAGATGTTCAAATCCACCGTGTAACCTCTGTTTTTAATCTTCTTACTAGTCTGGACCAGGTCAACAGACAACACGGACTAGACATGACTGGGCTCAAGGACATTTCAGACTAGTACAGACGTGTTTGTAAGACACTCCTCATTTAGCTGACTAGACAAGACGGGTATGCAAGACATTTCAGACTAGACTAGACGGATCCTGCGGACATTTCTGACTAGTCATGTCGGCAGCCTGCCTTCATTTTTTGCTTACTTGGGTAACTCAAGAAGTCTGATTGTCTTTTAAAGCAGCAATTATTTCGATATTAAAAATTATATCAAGAACGAAAATAATTGAATTTAGAGTTATTGGATTTATCATAACCACAGTACCTGATGTTTTACCATATACTTATAAAACTCTTAATAAACTTGGAATGTTTTAAACTGAGATGCAGTAACATTTCTCTATAATTATTTTTCATCATGTTAGATTGATAACAAGAATCTTTTATATTTGATATAAAGAAATATATCGAGAAAAAGGTTCCGGTTAAATTAAATTAAATTAAATTAATTTTAACATTAATGTTTTATTATTTCATCCTAAAGAACTAATTTCACGCAAAAAAAACTCTTCACAAATAAGAGATTTGATCAAATTTCGGAATATAAAACTGTAAAATGAACTGAAAGAAAATTCTTCATAAAAAAATTTATTTTATTATCAAAATAGATCATTCTCTTCTAGCAAAGAGTTGAACAATATCCAATGTACCGATATGTCAACTATCTCGTTTATTTAATAAAATTGAATAATTGATTTTTAATTTCTTTGTTGAATGAGAATGTAGTCAGAAATATTCCATAAAAAAGGAACCGTTGAAGAGTTAACGGAAAACAGAGCACATTTCTATGTTGTTTACCATCAGATTAACTGTAAATATCTGAAAATTGCAAACTAATCGGACTGTTAATTATTTATTTTCTCATATTTCAATCGTTTTTTCCTTCATGTAAGCTTCTTATCTTATAATTGAAATAGTTGAAATTAATAAAATAAAATCACATCACAGGTAAGCAAAAAATGAAGGGAGACTGCCGACATGACTAGTCAGAAATGTCCGCAGCTTCCGCCAAGTCTAGTCTGAAACGTCTTGCATACCCGTCTTGTCTAGTTAGCTTAATGAGGAATGTTTTACAGACACGTCTGTACTAGTCTAAGATGTCCTTGCGCCCAGTCATGTCTAGTCCGGGTTGTCTGTTGACCCAGTCTAGACTAGTAAGAAGATTAAGAAAACAGGTTACATGGTGGGTTTGAACATCCAGCCGACATTGTTCGAAATATGACGGATATCCTGACGGCAGACTAGGACACTGAGATAGACTGCCGTAAGTATATATGGTCTAAACTTATTTATTGACTACCATCCATGCATAGAAAATCAGAAACAAACCGACGTAAACGGTATTGACTAGTCTGAAATGTCTTCAACAGCTATTATGACTAGTCTGAAGCATCTTCTGGACACCTCATGACTAGTTCTTTTTTAAGAAGTGTTTATTTTACTCAATACTTATCGAATTTTTTTCTACCTAGAAGGACAATTAGAGAGTCGGCTGTCATCAATAGTGCATTCGAAAAGATTTAATATATTGCGTGCATCTCTGTCTTGATATATTTTATTTTATTTTATTTTGCATTAGCTTATGCTAAAAGTTTAAGAGTGTATCAAAACATGAAATAGTAGGGGTTCGTACTAACAACAAAATTCATTTCGCATCCAGGAGTGCTAATTTATATATATATATATATATATATTTGAATTGTAAGAGGTAGTAATTAAAAAAATTGAGAAGCACCTAAATCGTTTCATATCAAAATATAATGCTTGTTTATGTTAAATATCAATTGTAATAATTCTAAATTAAGCTAAGATAATTTATTTACTGGATGAAATGTACGGAGATTTGAGTATGAAATTAAATAAAAATAGTGTGAAAAAATCTAGTTTCTTTCCGGAATAAATAAATTTTATTTTTATGCTCAAATTAATGCTTTAAAAGCCCAACTAATTAATCGCACTGGCTTATAAATCAAAATATATTTCTCGAAAAAATTATGAAATCTTCTTAATTTATTTTTATTTAATGCTATCTAAAGTAATTTCGTTTCGGTAAGAGATAATTTTTATCAATTCATAAAATTAAAAGTTTGGAGCAAAAATTGTATTAAATAACATCTTAGAATGATCATGAGCGTGTAGAATATGACTTCTCGTTCATATGACTCAATGGTTCTGGCGATGGGTAAGTATCACATTGTATACATGTTCGAATCTAATCTTCATCCTTACATATTTCCATTCAGACTAGCCCAGACCGTCCACTATTTAAGGCTACAGCTGGTTGTATACTCTTCCCAGACGTCCTTAATTTTTCATTCATAAACCATTTTCGGACGAGCGACAGGGACACTCGTCACGACTATTCTTATTAGATTTTATGACTAGTTGTCAATCAGAGTACTAGGACGCGTATGCATGACGGTCAAAATCTCGAACTAGTCCCAGACGAGGACTTTTTGAGACAAAGACTAGTCGAGACGGGGCGACACGACTAGAAAAAGACTAGTCATTTAACCAGTCTTTTGCTCACTTGGGATAGTATTAATAGAAAATTTTTAATTCTCATATTTTAACCTCACAGTTTATTTTGAAAATAAATGTCTTATTCGAATTCCAATCTTTTAACTGATCTTTTACAAATTTTTATGACTTAATCTATAGTAATATTATATTGGAATCAGTCAAAGTTCAGAGATTGCCGTACAATCAAATGGTATTTGTAACCTTTTGTCATCATGAGGTGGAGCTGTGCACGTAAAATAAAAACAAAACCTATTAAGCAGCACAATCAACTAGTAATAAAATAATCGATATGATTTTTTTGTCTTGGTAATGCTTCTTATTCAGCTACTTCATATATCCACAATGCAACAGCTTCACACATAGCACACGAATAGATTGTAGAGAGAATAAAATCAAATCATCAAAGCGCGTCATGAACGCCGGCAGAATTACAATCTTAAATACAGAAGCAATTGAATAGGTTTCTTATTTTTATTTGATTTATATTTAATTGAGCAATAAAAAATATAGAATGAGAAATTTAAATCGAGTGAGCAATAATTAGATGGAATGAGCAATAATTAATTAAAATGAAGCGCGAAATGTATATAAAAGGGCAATAATAACTCGTTTTTTTTACAACAATAAACGTTTTCTTATCCTCATGAAATTTATATATAACTTTTATACATGACTCAAGCACAGCTCATAGCACACTATTTTTCTCTGATTCTGACAATGACATTGATATG